GATGAACTAATGAAGTCATGGCAAGATGGCTCAGGGCTCTCATCAGCCTCTAAGTACAACAAGAAGTTGAGTAAAACAGTAACTGAAAAGAAGTATATGAGCAGGACTAGTGACACATTTGGTGTAAATGGTGCTTCTGACTATGGAGAGTATGCATCTGACCGAGAAATCAAAAGGCGTTTGTCTAAACTGAATCGTAAATCCTTTAGTTCGGGAAGTGAAACATCTTCTGAACTCTCTGACAATGGCAAGAGTGACAACTATAGCTCAGCTTCGGCTTCAGAAAGTGAATCAGACATCCGTTCAGAAGGTCGATCACAGGACTTACGCACTGAAAGATACTTCACAGCAGACGAGTCCTTTGATTCTGTGACAGAAGAGCGTGAATGGGGTGCGCGTATGACCAAAGCTAGTCTTGTGCCACCAGTCACTAGGAAATATGAAGTGATTGAAAAGTATGCAATTGTCGCGGATGAGGAGGAAGTACAACGAAAGATGCGGGTTTCTTTGCCAGAGGACTATGGTGAGAAGCTTAATGCACAAAGAAATGGTATTGAAGAGTTAGATATGGAACTTCCTGAAGTAAAGGAGTTTAAACCAAGAAAGCTTCTTGGCGATGAGGTTTTAGAGCAAGAGGTTTATGGAATCGATCCTTACACCCATAACCTCTTACTTGATTCAATGCCCGGAGAATTGGACTGGTCACTACAGGATAAACATTCATTTATAGAAGATGTAGTCTTACGTACCCTGAACAGGCAAGTTCGGCTGTTCACTGGATCTGGAAACACCCCTATGGTATTCCCTTTAAGGCCTGTGATTGAAGAGCTCAAAGAGAGTGCTCGTGAAGAGTGTGATATACGAACACTGAAGATGTGTCAAGGCGTCTTAAAGGAAATAGAAAGTCGTTCTGATGATAAATATGTTTCTTATCGGAAGGTATAGCTTTGTTATTTATTAATAATCCATCAGTTTATTTAGGATTTGTTTGTTAATCTGCTTTGTTGCTGCTTTTTTGTCCAAGTAGGGCCTTGGTGTTGTGTGCAACAAAGAAGGTGGTTTTGGAGAAGAAGATTTTGTTGTTGAATTTCTTGGAGAGGTGGGTCCGTACCTTTGCTGTTGTATGTTTGTCAGTTACTCAGCTGCAGCAGAAACATTTTCTGAAGTTCACTAGGCGCACTGTGCTTATATATTGAATCATTCTCGTAAGGAAACCTCTGAACATAGATTCTGACTTGTTTTGGATATTGTAGGTTTATCCTGTATGGAAGTGGTTTGAGAAGCAAGATGGGATTCGTTCCTTACAGGAAAACAAAACTGATCCTGCACCAGAGTTCTACAATATATACCTTGAGAGACCAAAGGTATGGAGAAAATGTGATTGATGTTTGGGCTTGTATTTAATATTTTAGACCATTTTCTTACTATTTGTGTTGCACGGCAGGGTGACGCTGATGGATATGATCTAGTCGTTGTTGATGCCATGCACAAGGCTAACTACGCAAGTCGAATTTGTCACTCTTGCCGACCTAATTGTGAAGCTAAGTAAGTGAAATTCTTCCCCTCTGCAATCATCCATTTCCTCCAGAATTTTGGACTCAGAGAGCAGAACCAAGTGACAGCTGTTATATATTTTGTTTCATACATGATGCATGCATAAACTAGCCTGCCTAAGTACGCTCAGATCAATACACACATATTAAATGATTATTTAGAAATTTGTCTATTGCTTATGATTGTATCTTCTCTGCTCATACATATTTCTTATGTATACATAACATTTACTAAAAATGTGGACTGGAGAACTCCCTAATGCTTGACTGTTTTCATATCTGATAAGATTGTAAACAATTCACTCATTTTCCTCCTTCTCATATGGTGCGTCCAGGGTTACTGCGGTGGATGGACATTACCAGATTGGCATATATTCAGTACGTGCTATTGAATATGGCGAGGAGATAACTTTCGATTATAATTCTGTAACTGAGGTCTGTTTTTCGCTCTCCCTTCTTTTAGGCAGTTCCTACCGTAGGAAAGTATTATTTCGTTGGGTTAGTCTTTATGTTTTCACTACACTGTGTAAAGAATGATACATATTTCTGCGACAGAGTAAGGAAGAATATGAAGCGTCTGTTTGCTTGTGTGGTAGCCAAGTATGTCGCGGCAGCTACTTGAATCTCACTGGGGAAGGTGCATTTCAGAAGGTACTAGTGCTGTTAACAAATATATGATTATATTTCTGGTGTCAAAGATACATGAGAGTATTGATACTGTTTCTGTTAATGGAGTTTAAATGGCTATATGTTTGTTGTATGCGCTTGTTCACTAATAGTTCCTTTGTACTAAAGTTTAAAAAATCTTTTCTTTTGTCTACTGAATGTCGATTTAATTTTCTGAACGATATTTGTAACAGGTGTTGAAGGATTGGCATGGTCTGCTGGAACGACACAGACTGATGCTGGAAGCTTGTATACTGAATTCAGTTTCAGAAGAAGATTATCTTGAGTTGGGAAGAGCTGGACTGGGAAGTTGTTTGCTTGGCGGGTTGCCAGATTGGGTGATTGCGTATTCTGCTCGTCTGGTTAGTCTTGAATCATTTTATGTTAGTTTGTCACATGACTAATGATGGAATTGCAACTTCTAACCGAAAGTTTCTTGTACATAAAGGTGCGGTTCATCAATTTCGAGAGAACAAAGCTACCCGAGGAAATTCTTAAGCACAATCTAGAAGAAAAGAGAAAATACTTTTCAGATATACACCTTGATGTTGAGAAAAGTGATGCTGAGGTTCAGGTGAGACTATACTCTTCTTAACCTTCTGCGGGTTCTTTCAATCGCTCATATCTCTGTGCCTCGGAACTGGGTGTTAGCTTTGGGGTGTAGTAAAAGGGGGTTTGCTTTTTTCTCCAACTCTTATATGCTCATTGTATCTGTAACTTTAACGTCACAGGCGGAGGGTGTCTACAATCAGAGGCTTCAGAATTTGGCTGTTACACTTGACAAGGTGACTACAATCGCTCTTCATAAATTCAAACATAGTATTACTTTGCTTTGCCTTCCCACCTTTTGTGCAATCTTAAAATGTTTTTCCCAAATGAAGGTAGTCTCTGATTAGTGTTATACACAGGTACGATATGTTATGAGACATGTGTTTGGGGATCCAAAGAACGCTCCTCCTCCGCTGGAGAGGCTTACTCCTGAGGAAACAGTCTCTTTTGTATGGAACGGGGATGGCTCCTTAGTTGATGAGCTTGTTCAGAGCCTGTCACCGCACCTTGAAGAAGGCATCCTTAATGAACTCAGATCAAAGATTCATAGCCATGATCCATCTGGATCTGCTGATGTTTTAAAGGAACTTCAGAGATCGTTACTTTGGTGAGTACACCTATCATATTGCTTATGCTTGAAACGCTCTTATGAAACATTACGCTCATATCGAAAAATGTTTCCCCATGAAGGTTGAGAGATGAGATCCGAGATCTCCCATGTACATACAAATGTCGGAATGATGCTGCAGCTGATTTAATTCACATATATGCCTATACAAAGTGCTTTTTCAAAGTTCGGGTAAGTTGTTTCGTATAATTTGAGTACGAAATAATATATCTTGTTGAACTTCTTCTGAGAGATGGGTCTTGATATGTTACAGGAATACCAGTCCTTTATCTCTTCTCCCGTACACATTAGTCCGTTAGATTTGGGGGCTAAGTATGCTGACAAGTTAGGTGAGAGTATAAAGGAGTACCGGAAGACTTATGGCGAGAACTATTGTCTCGGGCAGCTAATTTACTGGTATAACCAGACAAATACTGATCCAGATCTTACATTGGTGAAAGCAACCAGAGGTTGCTTGTCTTTACCCGATGTTGCTTCCTTCTATGCAAAGGCCCAGAAACCATCGAAGCATCGTGTATATGGCCCAAAGACAGTGAAAACTATGGTTTCACAGATGGTAAATTTGTTTCTTTAACGCACTTCTGAAATGTGTTTCATCTGTCTTTTCACTGTCCATGACGTGGTTAATTTATCTATATGTACAGTCTAAGCAACCTCAAAGACCGTGGCCAAAGGATAAAATATGGACGTTCAAAAGCACCCCAAGAGTATTTGGAAGCCCGATGTTCGATGCCGTCCTTAATAACTCGTCACTAGATAGAGAACTGTTGCAGTGGCTAAGAAATAGAAGGCATGTCTTCCAAGCGACATGGGATAGTTAGGTAAAAATCTTCTTTATTATATTTAGCAGGTTGCCCTTTTGGGAAAGCGAGCAGTCGGGGCAACACACAGTTACTATAAATAGTCTCATATCCATGAACAACCATTCACTGCAAAGGTCCTCAGCTTTCCCCTCATTCTTGTGTATAGCTTTGCCATATATGTGATTTTGGAACTTGGTTATAACTTTGGGTTTAGGTGCCATTGTTATTCTGGTTAGATTAGGCTCACATAATTTTCAGAGAGGAGAATTCATTTGACTAGGTTTTCTCTTCTGTCTTCTTTTTTTTTTGTTACCTTAGTAATAATAATAGTTAATGTGTTCTTTCTTGTTCCCTAATCTATGAAAAGCCTGGCACAGAGAAAAGAAGGATAAAGAAAAAGTGAAATATATTTTAGAATTCGTATGCAACTTATTATTTTTGCTGGTGGCAACAGAATAATACAGTATTAATTAATACAATCAGCAAATTCATTAGCTTGTCTTCCTTGAAAACGATAACTTGGCTCCAAAATCTTCTCCTTTGAGCCAATGATCTCACTCTTATAGCGTAGAGGCCTTGGCCAAAATGGTGGGTCTTTCACAGCTTAAATGAAGGTTTTGGCTTCATACAGATCACTCTTCTCGTCTCGGAGAATCCAACCTATACCACATTGATTCGTATCCTCGTTTTCTCTAAGTAAATAATATGACAAAATTAAACAAATCCTTTAGAGAGTAGCACTGAAGTTTTATATAAAGATTCAATTACCTATCCTCGTTTTTCCATCGACATCTAAAAATGCGTATCATCTATCTTTTAGTTCACAAATAGGGAAATAGTTATACAAATTTACGATATATATAAAAGATTTTCAAGAAAAGAGTAATATCGAACAACTTTGGTATTCAAATTAGCTACAAACTCACTAATAAGTAATAACGTTAGTGAAATCAAAAGACTAAGAAGGTGAACTATCTTCCTCATCGTCTGAATCATCTGAACTGTCGATTCTCCGTTCAGCAATTGCTGGAAACAAACGTTGTCGAATGTCCGGAGACGGTTGATTACTGTCTGAAGACATCGTATCAGTTTCCTTCTTACCCGAATGGTTCTTCGTCTTTGTTGTTTCCTTAACTTCTCTGCAAACTTTCTCCAACATTATCAAGAAATCGCGCACTATAGCGAACAAACGTAAACCTTCGTTTTTCGCAGATTTCCCGTGGAAATAATCAGCAGAGCTTTTCACTAACGCCATGATTCTCTCTTCTTCTTCCTTCAACCATTTGATGTCAGCATCTGCACGTTCTATAAATCCAGCTAATGCTCGTTCGAAATCACTCTCTTCGTCCATCGTTTTCAAAAACTCCCGCGCATTTGTAAGCGAACCACTTAGATTGGCCAATGTTGCAGCCAATCCATCAGCATCTATGATCGCTGCTCTCTTGACATCTTCAAGCTCTGTTGTTAATCCCGTAACCACCTGAAGACCCGTGCTTCGATAACGCTCAACTGATTGTGGACTAGAATCTGCGATTGAATCATCTGTTTTAACACTTGAGAAGCTTCGGCTTGATCTCTGAAGGCGAAGAGCACGAACGCCTTCAGAACGAATGATCTCGAGAACAACGAAATGTAAAAGTGTAGTTTTGCCATCAGTTCCTTTGACGTCAGAGAGTTTTAAAAGAGTATCGAGTTTGAAAGCCTGCGCATCACCGCGGAAAGTTCCAACATTCATTCGGTTTCCTGTCTTGAGAACTGCCTCTAGTAGTTTTAAGAACAGTCTGCTGTTTCTAAGTTTCTTGCAAGCCACCTGACACAAAGATATATACAGGGAGATTAGAAAAGTGATGGTAGATTCTTGTTTTCAAGTATCTTTGGTCAGTGTCTTACCTCGAGAGTTGCGAGAGCTTCTTTGAGGCCAGAGACTTCTTCTTGAAGTGAGATCATGAATAGAAGTGACTCTATACGTTTAAATGCAAAAGGTATATCGACTAGAATTTTCAAGAATCGCTCCGCGGGGCCAAGTAAGTGAAGATCGCCCGAGTATAGTCTAAGTTTGAGTTCTTCTTCTGAAGTTGGAGCCATCTTCAGCAATGTTTGTAGAAGCTCCACTGGGAGCTCATTACCTTATGAAACAGAGAAGAAAGATACATTCAGTTCTAATACAAAGACCAAGGCACTAAAATGGTAAAGCCAATTAGATTACCTTCTTTGATTGCATCGACGACTTCCTCTGTTGTTACATTCAAAGCTCGAAGAAGAATAGATAAGTTTTGAGCTTTCCTAGTGTCAATTATCTGTATATATTGGACAGGAGATTCGCGTGACGATGAATCGGTACTCCTCTGACCATTCTTGTTTTTGTTCCCATCATTGTAACCGAAAAGCGTCTCCATCGCCTCTTCGTTGAACCTGAAAGCAGAACGTTAAGTTAAGCAAGCCCGGAAACAATGTTAAAGAAGTACAGATTCAACAATCTAACTCTTACTGGAATGAACCGGCGCTAATCTCATGCCAAACCATTTTCTGATCAGGGTTAGCCATTTTATCCCAAAAGAACGGCTTTAATTTTGTTTTTGGAGCTCCAGTCTCAGAATCAACATCAGATGCATCTCCAGAGGAAGTATGTCCCTGACGTTTTGGAGCCACACCTTTAGGTGGTGCAGGTGGAGGACGAGCAATTTTAGGTGGTGGAGGAGGCTGTGGTTTAGGAGGAGGAGGAGGCGGTGGCTGTGGTGGTGGGGCAGGAGCAGGAGCAGGAGGAGGAGGAGCTGCTGATCTTCCCGGGGGAAGCTTCAATGGAGGAAGTGCAGCCGATGACGATTCAGCCGTTGAAAAATCATTTCCATTTCTCCTAAAAGATACTCTAGAAAGAAATGACCTCTTTTTCGAACTAGCAGCACCAAACATTTTCCGGCTCGCGCTTGCGACAGTGGGCGAGTTCTCAGTAGATCCTGAAAAAAATGAGTGTACATTTTCAAATGAGTTTACCAAAACATGAACCGTTTTTGGCAAACAATGCAAAAGGCATCATACCAGTTGATAAACGTAGAAGTGGTCCTTCATCTCTTGGTCCATCTCTAGGCCCAACCGCGTTGTTGCCATTGCGTCTAAAGCAACACAAGAACATCAATGCAACAAGAACAAACGTTAAAACAGCGGTTGAAGCAACCGCAATGATAAGTTTCATCAAGACATCATCCTTCTTCTCCCGTGGTGGAGGAGGAGGACCTGGAACACTTTGACTAGGAGCAACAACACTCGGTTTCTCCTCACTTGGACCGGGACTCGATTCATCCGGTGTCTCAGCTGGAGGTTCATTTGGAGCACTTGCAGGTGCTACCAGATCATAACTACGAGGATTCGGTGCAGGACCTGGCGCAAAACTTGGCCCAGGTCCTGGCGCGAAACCCGGTGCAGGACCGGAAGCTAAATTTGGAGCAGATACACTAAACCTTTTTGGATAACTGATCAGCTTCCTTCTCGGATTTTGATGAATCCATGTTTGCTCTGCCTATCAGAAAATGAGATATGTGTCAAAACCAAAAGAATCAAAAATTTGAGCAAATCCAAGAATAGCTTCAAAACATTATCTTGATTTGTATCATACAGTTTCAAACACGAAAAAGAAAGTTGTATCGTGATAAATTACGAAAGTAATCTTGAGTATCAATGAATCTCAACGATAATGAAATTACCACATCGCCGCTATAGTCGATAGAGTTTCGATATACGGAGAATCGAAAGAGATTCGCACCGTCTCGAGAGAAAATCTCCTCGGAAACACAAACGAAAACAACGAGAGAGATCGCCAAAAACGCTAATCTCAATCTCCCCATCAACTTCGAATTGCGTTTCTCATCTCACGGAAACACCGAATAAAGCTTCCGTTGGCAGAATTTTTGTATGAACGGCGAAATCTGCAGAGCTTGATCTTCGCTGGAAACAAACCGCCATGCAGAAAAGCTCCGAACGCTTTTCTACGGCGTCGAACAATCGCAAACACAAACGGAAAAAAAAGGAAAAAATGTAATTTGGAAGCAAAAATTTGAAAAACGAAAGAGAAAGCTCTGTTTCAGGATTTTTTTCCTTGTTTTTTTTGAAGGGAAGCTTTTTTTAGATTTTGTGACTTGTGAGTTAACAGAAACGAAGATAATTTTTATATGTTTGTTAAATCGGTTATTCTCTTTAGTTGTTTGTCCTATTGAAATTTGTTTATAATTTTTTTTGGATCATTTCATGATGAGTTTACGATTAATAAGATTATATCAAATGAGGGAGATATATATATATATATATATATATATATATATATTTTTTTTTTTTTTTTTGACATCATGAGGGACATATATTTCCAAACATTTTTTTTGGATCATTTCATAATGAGTCTACGACTAATTCAATTGTAAGATTTTATCAAATGATATATTTCCAAAAATCAGCATAGTGAAAGAAATTTTTTAAGATAAAATGATTATACCATTTTAACAATTTTTTAATACACTTTTAGTTGAGAAATACTCCCTCTGTTTCAATATATAAGATGTTTTAGACCTTTTCATTTGTTCCATTATATAAGATTTTTTCTACTTTCAATGCATGATTTATATTAGTTTAATAGTTTTTAATTATTTTAATTATGCAGTATCTTCTTCTATTGGTTGAATTTTCATAAATGAGAAAACATTTATTGTTTCTTAATCTCTGTACTTTTAGTCCAAACATCTAATAAAATGGGACAGAGGGAGTACCATTTTTACCGTTTCACTCTAAAAAATGTCCATATATGTTGTCCATTTTCAATTATACCTTTTTCGAAAATGGTCATTGATGACTATAGCGGTTTACGGTTGTTGGACCCCAAATCATTTTTATTAAACTTTCTAAAACCTTTATAAAATATTTTAAAATCTTATAAAAGGTGTATAATTGAAAATAGATAACATATGGGAGCATTTTTGAAAAAAGATACTGTAAAAAAAGTATTTTTGAAAATCCTCCTTATTTCAATTAAAAATGGCTCTACATAGTAAGCAAGAAATTTATGGTTTCTGACTAAGAAAAAAATCTGTAAAAGTAAATATTCAACATCAAATTATCCATTAGAAATATTTAATCGTTAGTTCTTTACAACCTTAAAAACTGATAATAAATATATATTCTGACAATACGTCACAATGATGCATTATTTTACTGACAAAGCTTATTTATTTTTTTACACAAACTCTTAATCAAACAATTTTTTTTATTACACAGCCATAATTCAACCAGAAATACACACTTCACAATATACATAGCAAACACGTTTTATTTCTTCTGGTAACCCAAAACACAACCAAACTCAGACTCATTTGCGAAATTTTAACCTCTTAAAGTTGCAAATACCTCTTCGATCTTATTCTCTTTATTTATTTTGATAAAACCTCTTCTTATTCTCACTTCCTTGATTCCTTCTCTTACTTTCTTTGTGATTAGACGATCAATCACATAAATATAATCAACCATCGACCTTCATATCAGTTTCAGAGTCCCACTTAAATGCTCCACTTGGCTGAGCCGCGTCGGCAATATCCTCCACCGTCAGCTGCGAATTCTGTGTTTTCAACGGCACAATCTCATGCCCGTACTTCGCTGCGTCTCCACAGTAATCCTTATTCCAAAAACATATGTGTTATTCTTACATAACAAAACATATAAGTCATTTGGTTTGAATTTGAAGTCTTACTTGATCAGCGTGCATTTTCCTCACCAACTTCTTGAACAGCTCAAAGTTGTCTTCTTGAAAGACCGTATCGGATAACCGAAGGTAAGTAAATCCGTACATTCTAAGCTTCGGTTTACCGTTCGGGTTAACCCCGTTAGGCCTCGCGTTAAGAAGAATTTGATTGTAACCTTTGGCTCCATAGGTCTCTAATGCGTTCTCACCCGCAACTTCTATACCTTCTTTCCATGCCTTGCTCAGCACCTAAATCAATGATTACCAAAATAAATCGAATTTAATCACCGTTGAGTAAACCTTTTTGCAAATCTCTTCTCTTTATGCAGTTAGTTAAATTACCTCTTGAACAAGTTCTTGGGGAGCACTTAGGGCTTCAGCGGTATTGTCGGTATCTTTCATCTCAAGGCAAGTGAAGTTGAGAATGCCGTAGTGTTTTGAGAGCATCCGAGCGATAGGACGGTAACCATCTCTCTTGAAGAGGTTATAATATCCGGCAGTCAGCTCCGCCGCGTGGCTGTGGTGGTTGTACAACCAGTGAATCCCCGAAACCTACCACATTCACATACTCAATTTAGACTCATCTACTAGTTACCTTGCGAGACAAGTTAATTTCAATAGTTGTTCTAGAGATCATTGGAACCAACCAGTTTATAAAGAACTTCAGTTCATATTTTAGCTCATCAAGCACTTCGGTTTGTTTTCATTTAATAATTAGGGTTTTTCTTACTGCCCTAGTTCCTATATGTTTATAGTAATACCTTGGCAGCCAAGTTAACTTTAAGTCCAGCAAAGATCTTGTTGGCTTCTCCTATGATCTGATCTCCATGAAATATGAGTTTGTTCGAGTACCATGTCAAGAAAAACTTCCCCTCCTCCGAGACATAAGTCCCATTTCTCTTGAAAAAACCAGTATCCTCCGGCTTGTCATTGTATTCTCCGGCGTCCTCCGGCAAATCCCACTCAGGGTGCCCTGCTTTCGCCGCCGCTTCCTTGAAATCTTTCTTCAAGTACTTGTCATAACACTAGAATCACCAAAACGCATCTTTTATTGAGGGACAAACTCATAAAAACAAAGAAGTGTGAATAGATTTACAAAGTTAACCTGGAATTCTCCGATGCCGGGAAATACCCAACCTTGGCTTTGGGGGTAAGAAGGATAACGGAGTTCACCGGCGGGACCAAGTCCGACTTCGATGTCAACAATCGCGCCGGCTTCTATCAGATCCGCCATGTTTTCTTTGAAGCTACTCATGTAATCACTATACAACTGATGAAAAAAAAAACCCAAAATTGATATTTTTTATTTCAACTTTTTTTTTTTTTGTCAACAACATGCAATATGCGGGTTTTTATTATATTTTACTACCTGAACAGCGGTTCTTCCGGCAAACAGGGGAAGATTATCAACACCGATGGAGAGATACTCGATGTCTCTGGTTCCTTTTCGGTTAGTGTAGTAGATATCGGGATCGTTGTCGCCGACATCGCGCACCCATTGTGGGATCGGGATAGTAACGATGTCGCCAACGTTCCCGCCACATTGGTGAAAAGACATGATTGCTTGGATTTTGAGTCCCAAACGCGCGATCAGCTGGAATAGCGTTTTGTAGGCGGTCCAATCGTATTGTTTAGGACCTTTGGATTCTATGATTCCCCACCAAACATCGACCATCACGCCGTCGACGCCAGCTTCTTCTTTGAGACGCTTGAGCTGCGTTTCAAGCGTTTCTGGGTCCGCAAATACGTTATCCACATTCACAACTCCCAGCTGTCACATTCACAACATTGATAATGCTTATGAGCAAGACATTGTGGAAAAAGAACAAAAAAAAATATATACATTTTTTACCATGTTAATGATTGCTAAATCACATATGATGGTGGCTATGTCATTAAAAGATTATACTTTATTTGTTTCCTTTTATTCATAAATTCAAGTTTCGGACTGAAATCAATAACTAATGACGGGAATTATATGTTATTATCGTTGTATGTTTAAAATCAAAGAGTTCTAAGCCGAAGCATGTACATCTTTCCGCCAAGATCTCGTATAGTCACTTATCCTTTTAACCAACACTCAGACTAATGAGACCTTTAAAGGGTCCTTGCCTTTCGCCACTAGTCCAAGCGCTAGTTGGTTAAAAAATATGTTATTTGCATACACATAATATAAAAATTCATGGATTATAGTTGAAACTCTAGAAAGAATAACTCAAACAGTGATCAACGATTAGTTACCGGAAGCATAACGTAAACGGGAACATAGTTAAGAAGAAGCTTTTCGTTGTAATTGGCAGCCATTTTCTTCTAAATACAAACAAAGAAAGAACTGTTTTTTTTTTTGAGTGTTGTAGGAAAATATAAGCAATAAGTAGTAGTAGTTGAAGCTCACATATCTCTCTTAAAGAAAGCTCACCAGCTCTTTATATAGTAGTAGAAGATATAGTGCGAGTTAGGCCTGGTCAAAATACCCGGAACCGAATACCCGAACCGAAAAACCCGAAAAAATATCCGAACCGAACCGAAATCGATTTTTAAAAATACCCGAATGGATCCTAGACCTTACTACCCGAAAAAACCCGAACCGAATCCAATACCCGTGGGTACCCGAATACCAATATATAGACAATTCTATCATAAAGTGACTAGTGCTCTGTTTGTACGATCTAAAGCGACTGGTGCTCTGTTTTCAGCGGTCCATTTGAGGAGTATATAATGACTTTATTGCCCTCTTTTTTTTGGCGTCTTCCTTGTCCTCTTTCGTCATTTCATGAGATTCTTTTGAATGATACCTTTCCAATAATTGGTGTTCACAGATTTTGATTTCCGACATTGATTGTGTTGTCGCCGGCATTCTTTTGTTTTCCATGTGTTGTTTTAAGCACGTTGAGGAAATACTAGTATAGATTTTTTTTTGTTGATGTTTGTTGTCACCATTCAAATCTTGTTTCCCTTAATTAATAGGCTCAATTTCAGTGATATCTTACAACTTGAATATTATAGTAGGTGGATTATGTGGATGACAAAATCCGGTGTCATGATTTTATAAATCTTGAAAAAAATTCCGAAAATTTTATCCTAAAAAAAATAAAAATCCAGAGTTTTTTTTTTTATATATATACCCGATCGGCTGATCCGGTCTGTCCCAGTAGAAATGCAGCAAAATGGTTTAAAGTGGACTTCTTCCCGAAAGGCCATCACACTATCTTTCCCGAGTTTGGAATACTTTTCGACTAATGCACGGAATTATCCAGTTAGGCTAATTCCATATACCATGTAAATTGCTTGAGTCGAAGCCCAACCCCAGACTTTCTACACAAATGTGATTTTTTGTTAGCATGATGGATCGAGGATGGGTTAATTCTATTCAACATTTCCCCAATTCTCACTACCAGTAGACCACGGCCGTGTGGGCAAAAAAAAAAAATCCAGAGTTTCCGTAGGTTAGACTAAGTTGAGCTAGTTACTTTTAGAAAAAATATTATTTTTTGTGGGACAAAAAAAATATTTGTCTTAGTTATCCTTCCTTTTTTATAGTTTTCATCTTTTATAATTGTCATCGAATTTTTGAATCAAAACGTATTTACCTCTTTTAGTTTATCATCGAATTAAGAGATTAATTAATCGTTTTGATTTGGTTATTACAATGCATCGAGTTAGACTGGAAAATTTTATAATGAACTAGATAGCTAGTATTATGGTTTCTTGTACTTATGGGATGTTTATCCACCTCGTATGGATCTTATCTTCGGAACATAATGGATTTTCGTTGGAGTAGGTTTTATGCAAAATCCGACGATAACATATTAAAATTTTCTGAATACTTGATTTTTATTTTTAGTTATCCATACAAATTTGAGTATTCCGTATATGGAAAATATGATTAAAAAATTTTTTTTTATCAAAAAGCTACTCAAATATATAGACAATTCTATCATAAAGTGATATACATGTGTAGTTTAACTCTTTATTTTAAATAATTTGGATTTTAATGAGTTTTTATATAATTTTCCAAAATCACTAGTTCAATAACACTTGATAACATATGATTTGTTATTTAAACACACATCATTTCAAATTTTTAATTGAACACCTCCTCCTAAAGTTTATAATATATGCAATAAAACTATTTTAGATGGATGGTTTGTCCTTTTTTTTTTTTTAATAATACAAATTGCCTTGATTAAGCTATGTCAATTAGGCCTGGGCACAAGGCAAGTACTTGCTATTTTTCAAGTACTTGTGACTCGCCTTGGCCCGTACAAGTAATTGAAAGTTCGGCTTGATACTCGACTCGTTTGAGCAAGTACTTGCTATAACAAGTACTCGTCCAAAATTTTGTTACTTGCAAGTAACTTGACCCGGCTTGTTACTTGCAAGGTAACTTGACTTGGCTTGTTACTTGCAAGTACTTGTTACTTAAATCTTGAAGTCTTGAACATTTAATTTAAATAAAAAACCAATCTCATACATATTATAAAACATTCAGAATTTTAAACATCATAAAATCGCAAAACATCCTAGAATCACAACACATTGAAAGTTCCAAAAGATAAGCATTTTAAAACAACTTGGTTCAAATTGAAATCTTGTCTCTGTCTTCCTTCTTGAGTTCTTGTCTTCTTGATTCTCTTTTTTTTTCCATATAAATAAAACCAACATAACAAATGTTACTATTAGTGTATTACGCTTTAAAACAAAACTTGAAAATCATGAAGTATCCATACCTTTCATTCTTCCTCCAAAGCTAAACCCACTCCTTGCACCAAATTTCGATAAGCATTTGAAGTTACAAATTCTGTTGAAACAACATAAAAGTTGTAAGTTCACATGTAAAAGAAAACATGCATATATCATTGGTCATTGGGTTTATAGTTTTAGACTAATTTATAACATTGGTCATTGGGTTTTATAATTTTAGACTTTTAGTGATTGGGTTTAAATGTTTAATGGTCTTTATATCTTGTAATACAAAACGGGACGAGTAGCGGAGCGAGTAACGGGGCGAGTAATGGGGCGAGTAACGGAGCGAGTAACGGGGCGAGTATCGAAACGGGGCGAGTAACGAGCCAAGTATCAAAAAAAATTATGATACTTGATACTTGACCCTTACTTGCAAGTAATGGAATTATACTACTTGGTACTTGCCTTGACAACACCGGGTACTTGTTTTTTCAAGGCGAGTACGAGCCGAGTAGCGAGTATCAACCGAGTAACGAGTACTTGTGCCCAGGCCTAATGTCAATAAAGGCTTGGCCTACTCTAACGATAATTGTAAATGGGCCTAGGCCCAGTTAAAACATTCCAATACGATTAAATTATAAGAAACCGAAACTATTTGAAAACGATGTCCCGTCACCAATTCTCATATTGTCGGCGTCGGCGAATAAATAACACTGTAAAAACGCGTAAGCAAACGTTTCGATTGCCAAAAAATTGTTCTTCCTCTGTAAATTGCAATGCAAGCTAATCTCATTAATCTCTGACATGCATCAAATATGTTGTGATATCTCATCTTCTCAAGGACGTGATCTTGAAGAAATGATCCATGTGATCCGCAAAAGTTGTTACTTCAGACTATTTTAGATTCAGTCGTATCATTGAAACAGATAAAAACGTACTCAAAGTGTTCGATGGAATGCCTCAGAGAAAGCCAATAAGCTGCGTGGAACTATGAATCCGTTCGCACATTGTGGAAACAGTTCCGACATTGTTAAGTGAGTTGACTATTGTCTAAAAGATCTCGTCTTTGATTTCATTTACTTACTTTAATGAATCACCAGATTTTTCAACGCTTACCAGATTTTTGATTACTTTATTCATTCTTAATTTTGTACAGTTTTTCTCTGTACAAGACCGGATTCTATGGATATGATCACGTGGAGCTCGCGTGATATTAGTGTATGCGTAAGTTTTGTTTTTAAGTTTATACATATAATATTTTGACCTCAATAGCTTCTTCATTCATGTGAAGTTTTGCTTGCTTCTTCTTGTTGTTATTAGTTTCTTTGGTTGCTTTTATCTGACAATGGCTCAAACAGGTGAGGATGACGATAAGGCAAAGTCTCTACAAGTTGAGATTCGGTCGCAGTGGGCAACAGTTGAGAGATTACCAACTTTTAAAAGGGTTACTACTGCTTTGTTACACACAAGAGATGATGCGTCAGATATCGTTGATGTTACTAAACTTGAGGGTGCTGAGAGACGCTTGTTGATTGAGAAGCTCGTCAAACAAATCGAGGTTGATAACCTTCGTTTAATCAGAAATATAAGGAAGAGAATCGACGAGTACGTTACTATACGTTTCTAATTCCATGTTATATAAATCTCTGTTTTTGTTCCTGGTTATAATATCTGTTTTTGTTCCTGGTTATATATTCCATTTGCATGTTAGCGACTTTTTAATCTGTTGTCACACATGTAACTGTAGAGTTGGTATAGAGTTACCAACGGTGGAAGTGAGGTTCAATGACCTCTCTGTTGAAGCGGAATGCGAAGTAATTCATGGAAAGCCTATCCCAACTCTTTGGAATACTATCAAGGGCATACTATCTGTAAGACTCATATGTATTTGCTGCTTCGGTCTGAATATGGAAAGCGGATTTATTCACGTTTTTCCGCTTGCCATGTTACAGGAGTTCATTTGTTCAAAGAAAGAAACCAAGATAAGCATCTTGAAAGGCGTGAGTGGAATCGTAAGGCCTGGAAGGTAAATTTTTCAAGAGGCAATTCTTTAGTCCCTTAAGTTGCATGGAAGAAGAAATGAAGGGTGACCGGCTATTATTTGTAGTTTTTTTTGATAAAGTAGATTTCATTACAGAGTTCAAAAGATGTATTTTTTTTCTTGCAGAATGACGTTGTTGCTCGGTCCTCCTGGTTGTGGTAAAACCACCCTGTTACAGGCACTTTCTGGAAGACTTCCCCCTTCTGTAAAGGTTTGACTAACGAAGTAAAAACATAAGCCTGTTAAACTAATATCAAATAATATATTGGAGATCATAAAGGTTGTCTTCACTTTACAGGTTGGAGGAGAAGTAAGTTATAACGGTTGCTTACTTTCAGAGTTTATTCCAGAAAAAACGTCGAGTTATATAAGTCGAAACGATCTGCATATTCCAGAGCTGAGTGTGAGAGAGACGCTCGACTTCTCTGCGTGTTGCCAGGGCATAGGAAGCCGTATGGGTGAGGACCTGATTTGTCATATTCATTCAAAATGGAAGATATTTTCAAACTTAGTTTCACATTAACAAGCTATGGTTTATTCCACAGAAATTATGAAAGAGATCAGTAGAAGGGAGAAACTCAAAGAAATTGTTCCAGATCCTGATATAGATGCTTACATGAAGGTAGGTAATGAAAGATTTATTTTCTTCTTGAAACACTACTAAAAAGTAACCAATCTCAAATTTTCATTTCCCTTTGCTATTACAGGCAATATCTGTTGAAGGTTTGAAAAACAATATGCAAACTGACTATATTCTAAAGGTATTCTGCTTTCAGGGTTGCTTTTCTAATCTTCTAACCAATTATCCGCATGCTGCATTTAATATACTTTTATGAATCTATCTTTCAGATCCTTGGACTCGATATCTGTGCAGATACACGAGCTGGAGATGCCACAAGACCTGGAATATCTGGTGGCCAAAAGAGGAGGTTGACAACAGGTACTTTCACTTTCCTACAGCTTCTTATAGTTTTCTGATCAGAGTTTTTAAATATCTATGTCCACTATTGTAGGTGAAATTGTTGTGGGTCCAGCTACTACTCTGTTCATGGATGAAATATCAAATGGTTTGGACAGCTCAACTACGTTCCAGATAGTGTCGTGTCTCCAACAGTTGGCGCATATAGCTGAAGCCACCATACTGATTTCACTTCTTCAGCCTGCACCAGAAACATTTGAGCTTTTTGACGATGTGATTCTTATGGGGGAAGGAAAGATAATTTACCATGCTCCACGAGCTGATATCGGCAGATTCTTTGAAGGTTGTGGATTTAAATGTCCAGAGAGAAAAGGCGTTGCTGACTTCCTCCAAGAGGTATGGGAATAAATTGATCAGTTTTCCTATCTATTTGATGGAGAACCTTATCCTTCACATGCCTCTGTTACAGGTTATGTCTAGAAAAGATCAAGAACAATATTGGTGCCATAGAAGCAAGCCCTACAGTTATATATCTGTTGATTCATTCATCAAGAAGTTTAAACAATCAAATCTTGGGTTTCTGCTGAAAGAAGAACTGTCAAAGCCGTTCGATAAATCCCAGACTCGCATGGATGGTCTATGTTTTAGAAAATACTCACTGGGTAAATGGGAGATGCTTAAAGCTTGTTCGAGGAGAGAATTTCTTTTGATGAAACGGAATTCTTCCATTTACTTGTTCAAATCTGGACTGGTACGTTCCTCTATTCTGGCAAGGTTTCCTTATCATGTACCACTGTATGCTAACCTATTTCTTTATGCAGTTAGTGTTCAATGCGATAGTCACAATGACCGTTTTTCTACAAGCTGGAGCTACGAGGGATGCTCGTCATGGGAATTATCTTATGGGTTCTATGTTCACTGCTCTCTTTAGACTTCTTGCCGATGGGCTTCCAGAACTCACTTTGACTATCTCTAGATTGGGAGTGTTCTGCAAACAGAAAGATTTATACTTCTATCCTGCTTGGGCATATGCAATTCCTTCAATTATCTTAAGGATACCTCTTTCGGTTCTCGATTCATTCATTTGGACATCACTGACATATTATGTCATTGGTTATAGTCCCGAAGTCGGAAGGTAAACAACTTTTTAAAGATACCTTTCAACGATGAATCCAAATATAATTGAGAGAAATACTTTTAACGGTAAGTGTTACTTTCCTTCAGGTTCTTCCAGCACTTCATTATCTTACTTACATTCCACCTTTCATGTATATCAATGTTTCGCGCTATAGCGTCAATCTGTCGGACATTTGTTGCTTGCTCAATCACTGGAGCTATTTCGGTATTGGTTCTCGCATTATTCGGAGGCTTCGTTATTCCAAAATGTAAGTTTGCTGTAACTATGTTTTTATCAAGTTATGCTTCTAAAAATCTGAAATATTATTTACCATGCATGTTAGCAATTTTGAGTGTTGATTATAACCAGTTATGCACTTGTGAGGATAGTTAGGCATGTAGTATAGGGTTAGTTTACGGACTATATATGACAATGCTCATTTTCAGCGTCCATGCCTACTTGGCTGGGTTGGGGATTCTGGCTTTCTCCCTTGTCATATGCTGAGATTGGTTTAACCGCAAATGAATTTCTCGCTCCGCGGTGGAGAAAGGTAATAATTCTTCAGATGACTTTCACACAAGTCTAGGAACTCTAGTTTGCTCATCCACTTTATATTTGCAACAGTTAATCTCTGGTAACACTACAGCCGGGGAACAAGTGTTAGGTGTCCGTGGATTGAATTTTGGTAGGCACGCTTACTGGACAGCTTTTGGTGCTTTAGTCGGGTTTGTCTTGTTCTTCAATGTCCTCTACACGTTGGCCCTAACATATCGGAATAGTAAGTTCACCATAAATGACAATTAAAATGGTTTTATGAAGTGCTATCCAACTAAATTATTGACAAGATTATCTCTATAAGTTAAGATCCACAAAGATCCCGTGTTATTGTCTCGCATGGAAAGAACTCTCAGTGCTCAGAAGAAGATTTTAAACCCTGCCCTGAAATCACTTCGCGAGCTAAAAGAGGTATCTCTTTTCATCATCTTTTTATTTTTGAGTAGGTCTGGTGACTGCATCCCTTCTGACAATATATCTTTTCGCAGGAAAAGTTAGCTTGCCTTTCAAGCCACTCACTGTCACATTTCAAAACGTGCAATATTATATTGAAACTCCTCAGGTAAACATTGTTTAAGATCAGTAATTCAGTATGAATGTTTTGAGATACTAAATTCTCAAACAGAGCACAAGTTTACATGTGACTCACGTTCCTCTTAGGGAAAGACGCGGCAACTTCTCTCTGATATTACAGGCGCGTTGAAGCCCGGAGTTCTCACGTCTCTGATGGGTGTCAGTGGAGCAGGGAAAACGACTCTTCTTGATGTCCTTTCTGGAAGGAAAACCCGCGGTATCATCAAAGGAGAGATCAAAGTAGGGGGATATCCTAAGGTTCAAGAAACATTTGCACGAGTATCAGGTTACTGTGAACAGTTTGATATTCACTCTCCTAATATAACTGTGGAAGAGTCTTTGAGATATTCTGCATGGCTTCGACTCCCCTATAACATCGATTTAAAGACAAAGAACGTAAGTAATCACACTCTCAAAAAGAATTTACTACAAGAAACTGGCAAGTGGCAGCAACTTATCTGACTATATCAAATATCTGGCTTCAGGAACTCGTCAAAGAAGTCCTCGAGACAGTTGAGCTTGAGAATATCAAAGATTCCATGGTGGGACTTCCTGGAATAAGTGGTTTATCTACAGAACAACGCAAAAGGCTGACTATAGCCGTGGAGCTTGTTGCTAACCCTTCCATCATATTTCTGGATGAACCTACCACAGGGCTTGATGCAAGAGCCGCAGCCATTGTTATGAGAGCTGTTAAAAATGTTGCTGAGACTGGAAGAACAGTTGTTTGCACGATCCACCAGCCGAGCATAGATATCTTTGAGACATTTGATGAGGTAAGACGGCTGAAATCATTGATTTAATCACATTCAACTTTGATTCCCCTAGCAGCTTCTTATTCCCATAATTGCAGCTGATCCTGATGAAAGATGGGGGACAGCTTGTCTACTATGGTCCTCTTGGAAAACATTCAAGTAAGGTTATCGAATACTTCGAGGTCAGTTTGTCTACACTACTAGACTAGTTTCATCTTGGCAAGGTTCTTGATTGAAAAAAAAATATAACTTTTAGAGTACTGTACATTAACAGAGCATTCCTGGAGTTCCAAAAGTCAAAAAGAATTGTAATCCAGCCACTTGGATGTTAGATATTACTTGTAAATCTGCAGAGGACAGACTTGGAATGGATTTTGCACAAGCATACAAAGATTCAACTCTGTACAAGTGAGTCTTTATGCGGCAATCCTCATAATTTTTGTATGTGTGCGTTAAACTATGGTTCTTAGTGCCTGGTTGTTCGGTCTTTTTGTTCAGGGAGAACAAAATGGTGGTTGAGCAACTGAGTTCTGTGTCTCTGGGATCAGAAGCTCTGAGCTTTCCTTCGCGTTTTTCACAAACAGGTTGGGGGCAACTAAAGGCTTGCCTTTGGAAACAACATTGCTCGTATTGGAGAAACCCTTCACATAATCTCACTCGCATAGTCTTCATAATGCTCAATTCTCTGTTATCTGGCCTTCTCTTCTGGCAAAAAGCTAAGGACATGTAAGTCTCTGTTCCCCATTTCGAAGTATGATTGTTTGCAAACAAATTGTGGAATCACTGCTTTTCCTTTTTTGGGGTAAAGCCGTATAGGCGTAAGCTTAAACTAAAGTGCTTTGAGTCTTTTTAACAAAAAAATTTGTTTGTTTATGATGGGTGAAACACATAGCTTAATATGAAACCCGTATCAAAACGTTCAGGTTCCAAAAACATTTTGTTTACTAAATCTACAAAACCTTAGTTTGATATTTATATGGTTATTATAAGTCTCCATCAATACCACCAAAGTTTCAGAGGTCAAGAGAACTATGTTAATTAATATGAGTTTCTCTTTACTTTGCAGAAATAATCAGCAAGATCTTTTCAGCATATTTGGCTCAATGTACACTCTAGTAATCTTCTCAGGAATAAACAACTGTGCGACTGTGATGAACTTCATTGCAACCGAACGCAATGTTTTCTATCGTGAAAGGTTTGCGCGGATGTACTCCTCATGGGCGTATTCATTTTCTCAGGTGAAAATATTTCCATTGTAACTTGGGTTTTGTCAACTTTTAAGAAATAGATCTTATAGCTTCCACTCCTATTGGATGAATGCCAATAATTTTCTAGGATTGCATCCACTGGCTCTATACATAATCCAGGTACGTAATGTTTTGCAGGTCCTAGTTGAGGTTCCATACTCACTACTCCAGTCCCTACTATGTACGATTATTGTATATCCTATGATCGGCTACCATATGTCAGTTTACAAGATGTTTTGGAGCTTGTACAGCATCTTCTGCTCGTTACTTATCTTCAACTATTGTGGGATGCTTATGGTTGCGTTGACGCCAAACATTCACATGGCATTGACTTTACGCTCAACTTTTTTCTCCATGGTGAATCTGTTTGCTGGCTTTGTCATGCCAAAACAGGTAAACCCCTTATCTCTCACTCCGTTTTTACATACAGCCAAAATCGGAAGTATGTGCCATGGAACCTGTGGTCTTGTAAACCTATTGCATCAATAATCAATAGGCTTAATTAGAGCTATGTCAAGTCTAGCTGAGTCAAAGTGTTGCTGCATTGTATATAACCAATTCTTGTACCTTGGATTGAAATGAAGTTTCAGACTCCTAAACACGGAAAAAATGTTATCGTTTTCCGCAGAAAATCCCAAAATGGTGGATATGGATGTACTACCTGAGCCCGACATCATGGGTGTTGGAAGGATTACTGAGTTCACAGTATGGAGATGTCGAGAAAGAGATAATAGTATTTGGAGAGAAGAAGAGAGTTTCAGCTTTCTTGGAGGACTACTTCGGTTACAAACATGACTCCTTGGCTGTTGTAGCGTTTGTTCTCATCGCTTTTCCTATTATCGTTGCTTCTCTTTTTGCCTTCTTCATGAGTAAACTCAATTTTCAAAAGAAATAGTTTGTAACAATTGCAGCTTTACTTTCAGTTAGGCTTTTCTTTCTTTTATGTTATTATCAGAAACGTTTTAAATTTTCTATATATTAGTCACAAAAATGGCCCTGATAATCCCATATTGGATCTAACCGGAAAAAGAGAATCTACTACTATTCCCATGCAGATTACTAATTAAGTAATAATCCTGTTTTTTTTTTTTTTATGAAAGAACTAAAATGGTTAAAAAAAAATTTTTGGTAGGAAAGAACTAAAATTGTAACTGTTTGTAGGATTAAACCCCTCTTACATGTTTTTTAACATATACTTTATAACAATAAAAATGACATGTTCTTAAATAAAAAAAATTCAAAAAAAATATATTTAAAAATTAATTTTTGTTGCGTCACGAATTGTCATATCGTGCGCGAGTAACAACACTGTAAACGCGAATGCAAGCTAAGGGTTTTGATTAAATAAAACCGAATCTCATTAAATTCTGACAATATGAATCAAATATTCGATCTTCGTAATTGTTTGAAGATCTCTCTGACTTCAGATTCGGTCTCAGGGAAAATAATACTCTTACAAAGTTACGTAGTCAAAGTGTTCGATGAATTGCCTAAGAGAAAGCCAATGAGTTGCGTCCAAGTATGAATACTCTTGTAGATAGTGGGATCATTGTTAATAAGATTTCGTCTTTGATACATTTTGTCAACGCTTACCAGATTTGTATTTGTTTACTCATTCTTTTCTCTTTGTGGAAAGACCGGATTCTATGGATATGATCACGTGTAGCATGGGATATAATAATGTATGCGTAAGGTTTGTTAAAGTTATATATATACAAACATTCTGACTTCAATAGCTTCTTCATTCATATGACGTTTGCTTCTTCTTTTTTTGTTTAAGTTTGTTTTTTTTGGTAAACCTTGTTGTTGAGTTCCTTTTGGCTTTTTATCTGAAAATGATCCAAACGGGTGAAGATGAAGACGATAAGGCGAAGACCCTCGAAGTTGAGTTTGCTTCTGGAAATGATGAGGAGGCGCTTCGGTCGCAGTGGGTTACTGTTGAGAGGTTACCAACTTTTAAAAGGGTTACTACTGCTTTGTTCCACACGAAAGATGAAGTTTCAGATAAAGGGAGAGTCATTGATGTTACTAAACTTGAGGCTGATGAGAGACGCTTACTAATTGGAAAGCTCGTCAAACAGATCGAGGCGGATAACCTCCATCTACTCAGGAAAATAAGGAAGAGAATCGACAAGTAAGTGGCTGCACGCCTCTAAATTACATGCAGCATTTGTTTTGTTAGCAACTATTTGATCTGTTTTTACACGTGATTGTATTGTAGAGTTGGTATAGAGTTACCAACGGTGGAAGTGAGGTTCAATGACCTCTCTGTTGAAGCGGAATGCGAAGTAATTCATGGGAAGCCTATCCCTACTCTTTGGAATACTATCAAGGGCATACTATCTGTAAGTACAATCATATGGAGCACTTTGGCGTTTTCCATGTTCTTTACCCATTTGGCTGTGTGCCTAATTAAAACCTGATGGTTGTTACAGGAGTTCATTTGTTCAAAGCAAGAAACCAAGATAGGCATCTTGAAAGGCGTGAGCGGAATCATAAGGCCTGGGAGGTAAATTTTTCAAGAGGTTATTCTCTGGTCACTTAAGTTGCACGGAAGAAGAAATGAAGGGTGACTGGCTATTTTGTGTAGTTTCTTTTTAAAGTAGGTTTCATTACAGAGTTCAAAAGATGTATTGGTTTTCTTGCAGAATGACGTTGTTGCTCGGTCCTCCTGGTTGTGGTAAAACCACCCTGTTACAGGCACTTTCTGGAAGACTTTCCCATTCTGTAAAGGTTTGACTGACGAAGTAAAAACATAAGCCTGTTGAACTAATATCAAATGATATATTAGAGATCATAAGGGTTGTCTTCACTTTACAGGTTGGAGGAGAAGTAAGTTACAACGGTTGCTCACTTTCTGAGTTTATTCCAGAGAAAACGTCGAGTTATATTAGTCAAAATGATCTGCATATTCCAGAGCTAAGTGTAAGAGAGACACTCGACTTCTCTTCGTGTTGTCAGGGCATCGGAAGCCGTATGGGTGAGAATCAGATTTGTGAAAGTTTGAAATGGAGGATACTTTTGTGTTTTGAACTCAGTTCACATTAACAAGCTATGGTTTATTAAACAGAAATTATGAAAGAGATCAGTAGAAGGGAGAAACTCCAAGAAATCATTCCAGATCCTGCTATAGATGCTTACATGAAGGTAGGTAATGAAAGATTGAACTTCTTCTTGAAACACTGTGAAAACGTAAGCAATCTCAATTTTTCCTCTACCTTTGTTATAACAGGCAATATCTGTTGAAGGTTTGAAAAACAATCTGCAAACTGACTATATCCTAAAGGTTTGGACATAATTTGCTTTCAGGGTTCTGCTTTCCTCTTCTGACCATTTATCCGTATGCTGTGTTTAATATAATTGTATGAATCCATTTTCAGATCCTGGGACTCGATATCTGTGCAGATACACGAGTTGGAGATGCCACGAGACCTGGAATATCTGGTGGCCAAAAGAGGAGGTTGACAACAGGTACACTTTCAGTTTCTTGCAGCCATTCACAGTCGTCTGATCAGAGTTTTTAAATATCTTTGTGGACTACTGTAGGGGAACTTGTTGTGGGTCCAGCTACTACCCTGTTCATGGATGAAATATCGAATGGTTTGGACAGCTCAACTACGTTCCAGATAGCGTCATGTCTCCAACAGTTGGCACATATAGCTGAAGCCACCATACTGATTTCACTTCTTCAGCCTGCACCAGAAACGTTTGAGCTTTTCGACGATGTGATTCTTATGGGGGAAGGAAAGATAATTTACCATGCTCCACGAGCTGATATCTGCAGATTCTTTAAAGACTGTGGATTTAAGTGTCCAGAGAGGAAAGGCGTTGCTGACTTCCTCCAAGAGGTATGGCTGTAAATTTGATCATTTTCCCTATCTATTTGATGGAGAACCTTATCCTTCACATGACTCTGTTACAGGTTATGTCTAGAAAAGATCAAGAACAATATTGGTGCCACAAAGGCAAGCCCTACAGTTATATATCTGTTGATTCATTCACTAATAAGTTTAAAGAATCAAATCTTGGGTTGCTGCTAAAGGAAGAACTGTCAAAGCCGTTTGATAAATCCCAGACTCGCAAGGATGGTCTATGTTTTAGAAAATACTCACTGGGTAAATGGGAGATGCTTAAAGCTTGTTCGAGAAGAGAACTTCTTTTGATGAAACGGAATTCTTTCATTTACTTGTTCAAATCTGGACTGGTACGGTCTTCTACTCTGCCAAGGATTCCTTTTCATTTACCACTGCATGCTAACCATTTTTCGTTATGCAGTTAGTTTTTAATGCGTTAGTCACAATGACCGTTTTTCTACAAGCTGGTGCTACGACGGATTCTCCACATGGGAATTATCTTATGGGTTCTCTATTCACTGCTCTCTTTAGACTTCTTGCTGATGGGCTTCCAGAACTCACTTTGACTATCTCTAGATTGGGAGTGTTCTGCAAACATAAAGATTTATACTTCTATCCTGCTTGGGCATATGCAATTCCTTCAATTATCTTAAAGATACCTCTTTCGGTTCTCGATTCATTCATCTGGACATTACTGACATATTATGTCATTGGTTACAGCCCCGAGGTCAAAAGGTAAACAATTCTTTTGGAAATACTTTCAATGATTAATCCAAATTCTGTGAGTAAACTACTTCTAATGGAAAGTGTTACTTTCCTTAGGTTCTTCCTGCACTTCCTTATCTTATCTACATTCCACCTTTCATGTGTATCAATGTTTCGCGCTATAGCGGCAATATTTCGCACAATTGTTGCTTCCACAATCACTGGAGCTATTTCCATATTGGTTCTCTCATTATTCGGTGGCTTCATTATTCCAAAATGTAAGTTTCCAGAAACTTTCTTGTACCAAGTTATACTTCTGAAATTTTATTTACCATATGCAATATTATATCTGAAAATGCTCATCTTTCAGCATCAATGCCTGCTTGGCTGGGATGGGGATTCTGGCTTTCTCCCTTGTCATATGCTGAGATTGGTCTTACCGCAAATGAATTTTTCTCCCCAAGGTGGAGCAAGGTAAATTCTTCAGAAGACTTTCACACAAGCTTAGTAACTCTAGTCTGCTGATCCGCTTTATATTTTGCAACAGTTAATCTCTAGCAACACTACGGCCGGGGAACAAATGTTAGATATCCGTGGGTTGAATTTCGGTAGGCACTCTTACTGGACAGCTTTTGGTGCTTTAGTCGGGTTTGTCTTGTTCTTCAATGCACTCTATGTGTTGGCCCTAACGTATCAGAATAGTAAGTTCATCACAAATGACAATAGAAATCATGACTTTATGAAGTATTTTCCAACTAAAATATTGATAAGATTATCTTTGCAAGTTAAGATCCGCAAAGATCCCGTGCTATGGTCTCGCATGGGAAGTACTCTCAGCGCATAGAAGAAGATTTTAAACCCTGCCCTGAAATCACTTCCCGAGCTAAAACAGGAAAAGTTATCTTGCCTTTTAAGCCCCTCACTGTCACATTTCAAAATGTGCAGTATTATATTGAGACTCCTCAGGTAAGCATTGTTTAAGATCAGTATGAATTTTTTGAGATACTTAAACCCTCAAACAGAACGTAAGTTTACATGTGACTCACTTTTCTCTTAGGGAAAGACGCGGCAACTTCTCTCTGATATTACAGGCGCGTTGAAGCCCGGTGTTCTCACATCTCTAATGGGTGTCAGTGGAGCAGGGAAAACGACTCTTCTTGATGTTCTTTCTGGAAGGAAAACCCGCGGTATCATCAAAGGAGAGATCAAAGTAGGCGGGTATCCTAAGGTTCAAGAAACATTTGCACGAGTATCAGGTTACTGTGAACAGTTTGATATTCATTCTCCTAATATAACTGTGGAAGAGTCTTTGAAATATTCTGCATGGCTTCGACTCCCCTATAACATCGATTCAAAGACAAAGAACGTAAGTAATCACACTCTCAAAAAGAATCTACTACAAGAAATTGGCAGCAACTTTATCTGACTATATCTAGGATCTGGCTTCAGGAACTCGTCAAAGAAGTCCTCGAGACAGTTGAGCTTGAGGATATCAAAGATTCCATGGTGGGACTTCCTGGAATAAGTGGTTTATCTACAGAACAACGCAAAAGGCTGACTATAGCCGTGGAGCTTGTTGCTAACCCTTCCATCATATTTATGGATGAACCTACCACAGGGCTGGACGCAAGAGCCGCAGCCATTGTTATGAGAGCTGTGAAAAATGTTGCTGAGACTGGGAGAACGGTTGTTTGCACGATCCACCAGCCGAGCATAGATATCTTTGAGACATTTGATGAGGTAAGACGGCTGAAATCATTGATTTAACGACATAGTCTAAACTTTGATCCCCCCAACAGCTTCTTACTCCCTCAAGTGCAGCTGATCCTGATGAAAAATGGGGGACAGCTTGTCTACTATGGTCCTCCTGGACAACATTCAAGTAAGGTTATCGAGTACTTCGAGGTCAGTTTGTCTACAATACTAGACTAGTTTCATCTCGGCTGAGTTTTTGATTTCACAAATAACTTTAAGAGTACAATACATTAACAGAGTATCCCTGGAGTTCCCAAGATCCAAAAGAATTGTAATCCAGCCACTTGGATGTTAGAGATTACTTGTAAATCTGCAGAGGATAAACTTGGAAATGATTTTGCACAATTATACAAGGATTCAACTCTGTATAAGTGAGTGTTTATGCAACAATGCTCGTAATTTTTCATGTGTGCGTAAAATTATTGTTCTCACTGTTGGTTGTTGGGTCTTTTCTTGCAGGCAGAACAAAATGGTGGTTGAGCAACTGAGTTATGTGTCTCCGGGATCAGAAGCTTTGAGCTTTCCTTCACGATTTTCACAAACAATTTGGGGGCAACTAAAGGCTTGCCTTTGGAAACAACATTACTCGTATTGGAGAAACCCGTCACACAATATCACTCGCATAGTCTTCATATTGCTCGACTCTATGTTATGTGGCCTTCTCTTCTGGCAAAAAGCTAAGGACATGTAAGTCTCCGCTCCCCATTTCGAAGCATGATTGTATGCTACTATATTGTGGAATTACATCTTTTCTTTTTTAGTGGTAAAGCATGAACTAAATTGATCTGTCTAAGATTCTGTAAACATAGTTTCGCTTCTTTCGAGTGCCTCAGGTCTTTTTTATAGAATTTTTAGTTCGTTTATGATGGCTAAAAGTCATAGCATAATATATGAAACCCGTACCAAAACATTCAGGTTCCCAAAACCATTTTGTTACCGAATCTCACAAATTGCAATGAATAATTAAGGATTACATACCACCAAATTTTCACAAAAAAAGAGAACTATGTTAATTTAATTTGAGTTTACCTTCGCAGAAATAATCAGCAAGATCTTATCAGCATATTTGGTTCCATGTACACTCTAGTAATCTTCCCGGGAATGAACAACTGTGGGGCAGTGATAAACTTCGTTGCAGCGGAACGCAATGTTTTCTACCGTGAAAAGTTTGCACGGATGTACTCCTCATGGGCTTATTCATTTTCTCAGGTTAACAATGTTTCCGTTAAAAATGGGTGTTGTCAACTTTTTAGAAGTAGATCTTATAGAAAATTGCTTAGGGATGCTAATAATTTTCTGGGATAGCATCCACTGGCCAGATATCTCTCTACATAATCCAGATATTTAATGTTCTGCAGGTCCTAGTTGAGGTTCCATACTCACTACTCCAGTCCGTTCTATGTACAATAATCGTATATCCTATGATCGGCTACCATATGTCAGTTTACAAGATGTTTTGGAGCTTGTACAGCATCTTCTGCTCGTTGCTCATCTTCAATTACTGCGGGATGCTTATGGTTGCTTTGACGCCAAACGTTCACATGGCAGTGACTCTACGCTCGTCTTTTTTCTCCATGTTAAATCTGTTTGCTGGCTTTGTCATTCCAAAACAGGTAAGGCTCCCCTTATCTCTCACGCCGTTATTACATACAGCCAAGATCCAAAGTATGTCATGGAAGCTGTGGTCTTATAGACTTATTTGCATCAATAACCAATAAGCTTGGAACTATGTCAGATCTATTTAACTCAAAATGTATCGTTGTCCGCAGAAAATCCCAAAATGGTGGATATGGATGTACTACCTGAGCCCGACATCATGGGTGTTGGAAGGATTATTGAGTTCGCAATATGGAGATGTGGAGAAAGAGATAACAGTATTTGGAGAGAAGAAGAGAGTTTCAGCTTTCTTGGAGGATTACTTTGGTTACAAACATGACTCATTGGTTATAGTAGCGTTTGTTCTCATCGCTTATCCCATTATCGTGGCAACTCTATTTGCCTTCTTCATGAGCAAACTCAATTTCCAAAAGAAATAGTTTTTATGTAATGATAGCAGTTCACTCTATACTTACTTTCAATTAGAGTCCATCGGCTTTGCTTTGTCACCATGGATTTTGGACTCTAGAAGAAAATGGCTCTTTGACTACAACAGAAAACAAAGACAGAGGAGGCGTGTCGTATTATCCAAGTATCTTTTTTTAACTTCTTCATAAGGCGGCTTTTGGGTTTGTTCTGTTGTTTCTTGGTTTTGTAGTCAAAGTGTTCGACGAAATGCTTACGTGAAAGCAACGTCTTTTTTTATTCATTTTCAAATGCTTACCCATTTCTTTATTGATTAAAACAGTTGCTCCATGCTTGTGGGGGGACTTGACTGACAATAAGACCTTTTGAAGCCAACTTGGTTTTCATCATTTTGTTAACTTGTATAATTATCTGTTTTTTTTTTTTTTCCTTACATGATTCAGAAGATAACATTAGAAATGGTCCAATGGTAGTTTGGTAAAATCTGACTAACATATGTCGGTTCCATTACCCGATTATGGACAAAACTATTTTTTATTACAAGTACGAATCAATAAAGTAAGAACCTTTTTAAGAAATTTGATTGCAGCCACAAAAGTCAAATCTTTTACATATCAGAAAATTCTTCAGAGGCGGCGAATTTTGTTTTCTTGCTTCTTCAAATTGTCTCTTTTCTATATATTTTCATGCTTAGAGCATCTTCAATGGGAATCTCTTACCCATTTAACTTTTATTTTTGTCTGTATTCACTTTGGTCCATGCTTGATATTAAGACCGTTGACTTCTCTGTCCACCTCGTGAAGCCAACGTGATTGTGATAAATTATTTTGCAAGCTAGCAACGCTACTTCTCTAACTCTGTGTATAACATTCTCTTCTCTCTTCTTCTTTGTAAAGTATAATCCTTTTTGGAATTTGGTTTCTAATAATGGCAATGTCTCAGATAGATGGAGTTGAGTTTGCTTCTAGGAACACTATTGAAAATAGTGATGATGATGAGCTTCGGTCTCAATGGGTTGCTATTGAGAGATCACCAACGTTTGAAAGAATCACTACTGCTTTGTTCTGCAAAAGAGATGAAAAAGGGAAGAGAAGCGAGAGACGAGTCATGGATGTTTCTAAACTTGAGGATCTTGATAGACGTCTGTTTATTGATGAGCTCATCAGACATGTTGAGAATGATAATCGCGTCTTACTGCAAAAGATTAGGAAGAGAATTGATGAGTAAGTGCACGCCTTTTTCGCTGTAGCCTTTGTATGTATATGTTCCTTATACATTAGATATGTAACTCCATGTTTATTTGTAGGGTTGGGATTGATTTACCAACGATTGAAGTGAGGTTCAGTGATCTTTTTGTCGAAGCAGAGTGTGAGGTTGTTTATGGAAAGCCTATCCCAACTCTTTGGAATGCTATTGCAAGCAGATTATCTGTAAGTGTTTGCTTTGACTTGTCTTTCTACTTTCAATTCCTTCTGAGATTTAAAATAATGGTTGATTTTGACAGAGATTTATGTGTTCAAATCAAGAAAAGAAGATTAGCATCTTGAAAGGTGTCAGTGGCATCATAAGGCCTAAAAGGTAGATTCTTGAAGCAGAAAATTTCCTTATTATTTATTCAAGAATGATCGGTTTAGTTTCAGAAGATTTAGTGGTTTTCTTGTAGAATGACTTTGTTGCTTGGTCCTCCTGGTTGTGGTAAAACCACTCTACTACTCGCACTATCTGGAAGACTCGACCCTTCTTTAAAGGTTTGGCTTGGTTTTTTTCTCTCCTTAAAACGTCTCTGTCTTCAGAAATCGTCATATGGGTTGCTTCCATTTTACAGACTAGCGGAGAAGTTAGTTACAACGGTCACTTGTTTTCGGAGTTTGTTCCTGAGAAAACATCGAGTTATGTAAGTCAAAATGATCTGCATATTCCAGAGCTAAGTGTGAGAGAGACACTCGATTTTTCGGGATGTTTTCAAGGCACGGGAAGCCGTTTAGGTAAGGACAATACTAAATTGTTATGTTTCCTTTTGCAATGAACTTCATTGACACTGAAAACTATTGGTCATTTGTTCAACAGAAATGATGAAAGAGATTAGTAGAAGGGAGAAACTGAAAGGAATTGTTCCAGATCCTGATATAGATGCATACATGAAGGTTAACAAACTAAGGATATTTTCATATGAAAAATATCTATGACTTGGAACTTGCTTTGCAAGAAAAAGAATCGTTTACGGAATTTAAATTTTTATCATTACAGGCAGCTTCAATTGAGGGTTCAAAAACTAATCTGCAAACCGATTATATCCTAAAAGTATGGTACAATCAGAGTCTGTTCTTTTTTACTTCATCTTTAGCTTCTACTCTTATCAGAAGTTGATTAATGCATCTGTGTTTCAGATCCTAGGACTCAATATCTGTGCAGATACACGTGTTGGAGATGCTTCAAGACCGGGAATATCCGGTGGCCAAAAGAGAAGATTAACTACAGGTACTTGTAAATTTCACACAGGGCTTTAGCTTCTTGCAAACAATTTTTGATATTTGGTATATACTAATCTGTTATCTTTTGCAGGTGAGATGATTGTAGGTCCAGTTAAAACTTTGTTCATGGATGAAATATCGAATGGTTTGGATAGCTCAACTACATTCCAGATTCTATCATGTCTCCAACAGTTTGCACGTCTATCTGAAGGAACCATACTGGTTTCACTGCTTCAGCCTGCACCAGAAACGTTTGAGCTTTTCGACGATGTGATTCTTATGGGAGAAGGCAAGATAATCTATCACGGTCCACGGGATTTTATATCTAGTTTCTTTGAGGATTGTGGATTTAAATGTCCAAATAGGAAATCTGTTGCTGAATTCCTTCAAGAGGTATGAATATGATAGTGATGATGATTCTCTCTGTTCTTGAAACTTTAATGATCATCACACTCTTGTGTTGCAGGTTATCTCAAGGAAAGATCAAGAACAATATTGGTGTCACAGAGACAAACCATATTGTTATGTCTCTATTGACTCATTTATTGAGAAATTTAAAACGTCTGATCTTGGGCAACAACTACAAGAAAAAGTCTCCAAGACATATGACAAGTCTCAGACTCAAAAGGATGGACTGTGCTTTAGAAAATACTCACTTAGTAACTGGGATATGCTTAAAGCTTGCTCAAGGAGAGAATTTCTTCTGATGAAACGTAACTCTTTCGTTTACGTATTCAAATCTGGACTTGTAAGTTGAATTTACTATGAAAAAAAAGCTTTACTTATTTTTACCAATGCTTTCTAAAGCCATCTACCTTTTTTCGATCTGCAGTTAATTTTCATTGGATTCATTGCAATGACTGTTTATCTACGGACTGGGTCTACAAGAGATTCTCTTCATGCTAATTATCTTTTGGGTTCTTTGTTCTTTTCTCTCTTTAAACTTCTTGCTGATGGACTTCCAGAACTCACATTGACAATCTCGAGAATTGCCGTGTTCTGCAAGCAAAAGGAGTTATACTTTTATCCTGCTTGGGCATATGCAATACCTTCAGCTATTTTAAAGATACCGATTTCATTTCTTGAATCATTCCTCTGGACATTGTTGACTTATTATGTCATTGGTTACAGTCCTGAGATGGGCAGGTACTAATTTGGGACATGTTTTTCAATGGCCAATGCAAATAGAAACCAAATTTAATATTTCTCTTTCTGCTAAACAAAAATATTCTGTATTTCCTTCAGGTTCATTCGCCAGCTCTTGATCTTCTTTGCTTTACACCTTTCGTGTATATCAATGTTCCGTGCTATAGCTGCTGTCTTTCGAGATTTTGTTCTTGCCACGACTGTTGGAAGCATCTCTATAGTGCTTCTCTCAGTATTCGGAGGTTTTATTGTTCGAAAACGTAAGATTTTAACTTGACACTTGACTGTAGTAATTCGGAGGTTTCGTTGTAATGATGTCCTGTTATTTTTCAGCCTCAATGCCTTCTTGGCTTGAGTGGGGATTCTGGCTTTCTCCATTGTCATATGCTGAGATTGGTCTAACCGCAAATGAATTTTTCGCTCCACGGTGGAGGAAGGTAACATCTGAAAACAGAACTTTGGGGGAACAAGTTCTAGATGCTCGCGGGTTGAACTTTGGAAATCAATCTTACTGGAATGCATTTGGCGCTTTGATTGGCTTCTCACTCTTCTTCAATACTGTTTTTGCACTGGCCTTGACCTTTCTAAAGAGTAAGTTCACAAGAGATATAAGAATATGACTTAATCATGTTAGTATATGCAATGAGGATTGATGTTTTTTCTGGACTTCAGCTTCACAGAGGTCTCGTGTGATTGTTTCTCATGAAAAGAACACTCAAAGCTCAGAAAAAGATTCTGAAATTGCTTCCCAATTCAAAAATGCATTACCTTTCGAACCTCTAACTTTCACATTTCAAGACATACAATATTTTATTGAGACTCCTCAGGTAAAGACTAAAGAGTATGCAAGATCAGTGCAACTTTTCTTGAATCCTTTTAAACAGATACATTGTTATAATGTGTGGCTATAATTTCTGTGTTAAAAGGGAAAGAAGCTGCAGCTTCTCTCTGACGTTACAGGCGCATTCAAGCCCGGTGTTCTCACTGCTCTAATGGGTGTGAGTGGAGCTGGTAAAACGACTCTGCTTGATGTTCTTTCGGGAAGGAAAACCCGCGGTGACATTAAAGGACAGATTGAAGTAGGCGGTTACCTTAAGGTTCAAGACACATTTTCGCGGGTTTCAGGTTATTGCGAGCAGTTTGATATTCATTCTCCCAATTTAACTGTCCAAGAGTCCCTGAAGTACTCTGCTTGGCTTCGACTTCCTTCTAACATCAGTTCAGAAACTAAAAGTGTAAGTCATTATTTGAGAATAAAAAAAGTTTTCTTCTTTCCTTTAGCTTCCTTGTCTGAACATTTTCTTGATCTTCGCTTTCAGGCAATAGTTAATGAAGTTCTTGAGACGATAGAGCTCAAGGAGATTAAAGATTCCATAGTAGGAATTCCTGGCATTAGCGGTTTAACAACAGAACAACGCAAAAGACTAACAATAGCCGTGGAGCTTGTTTCCAATCCATCAATCATATTTATGGATGAACCAACCACAGGATTAGATGCAAGAGCTGCTGCAATTGTAATGAGAGCTGTGAAGAACATCGCCGAGACTGGCAGAACTGTTGTTTGCACAATTCACCAGCCGAGCATAGATATCTTCGAGACATTTGATGAGGTAAAAACTCGTAAAACATTCATCTCATTTTAAAGTCTCTAAAGTACATTAATGTGACCCTTCAATTGCAGCTGATTCTGATGAAAAATGGAGGAAAGATTATCTATTATGGACCTCTTGGACAACATTCAAACAAAGTTATTGAATACTTTATGGTCAGTTTCTATATAATACTGAAACTGTTGCATATAAAGTATGGTTTCTTCTCTATTTACAAATTATAAGAACAATTTTCAACTGTAGAGCATTCCTGGGGTTCCAAAACTGAAAGAAAACTCTAATCCAGCAACTTGGATACTTGACATTACTTCTAAATCATCAGAAGACAAACTTGGTGTTGATTTGGCACAAATATACAAGGAATCGAATTTGTTTAAGTAAGTCTATAAACAAGTATCACTTAATAACTTTGGATGTTGTTTGCCTGGAACTGATTGTGTTATTTGGTTTTAGGGAGAACAACATTGTAATTGAGCAAACAAGATGTACATCTTTGGGATCAGAAAGATTAATCTTGTCTTCGCGTTATGCTCAAACGGGTTGGGAACAATTCAAAGCATGCCTCTGGAAACAACATCTCTCTTATTGGAGAAACCCTTCCTACAATCTCACTCGCATCATTTTCATGTGTTTTACTTCTATGCTCTGTGGCATTCTTTTCTGGCAAAAAGCTAAGGAAATGTTCGTGTCTTCACCCATTTTTCTTGAATCGGCTTTGAACCGTGTGATTTACTTAATCTCAAAAACTTTGTGTTCTGAATATCTGCTATTTAAACTTTGTTTACCTCTCTTTCTTTGCAGAAACAATCAGCAAGATCTATTCAACGTATTTGGCTCAATGTTCACGGTGGTTCTATTCTCTGGAATAAACAATTGCTCAACAGTGTTATTTTGCGTTGCAACCGAACGAAATGTCTTCTACCGTGAAAGATTTTCCCGTATGTACAACTCATGGGCGTATTCTCTTGCTCAGGTTAAAACATTTTCTCAATCAAACCATAAAGGAAGGAAAATAAAAAACTCAGAGTTTGGTATTGACTTTTAAGGCTGGATGTTTGCAGGTGTTGGTTGAAATTCCATACTCATTGTTCCAATCTATTGTATACGTGATAATCGTATATCCTATGGTTGGTTATCACTTTTCGGTCTTCAAAGTGTTTTGGAGCTTCTACTCAATTTTCTGCTCCTTGCTCATCTTCAATTATTTCGGCATGCTTTTAGTCGTCGTGACCCCAAACGTTCACGTTGCTTTTACTCTCCGCTCTTCGTTTTACTCAATAGTCAATCTCTTTGCTGGTTATGTCATGCCAAAACCTGTAAGTCCTCTCTTACCTCTCTTCACCAAGTTTATGAAGTTCAATTTTTGTTGTGTGAAAGAAAGAAAAAGAGTTAGAAAAATCATCTATATATGAGATTTTGAGGTTTTTTTTTGTTGTTGTTGATGCAGAACATTCCGAGATGGTGGATTTGGATGTATTACATGAGCCCGACGTCATGGGTTTTAAACGGATTGCTCACGTCGCAGTATGGAGATATGGAGAAAGAGATTTTAGCGTTTGGAGAGAAGAAGAAAGTTTCAGCTTTCTTGGAAGATTATTTTGGCTACAGATATGATTCTTTGGCTCTTGTAGCTGTTGTTCTTATTGCCTTCCCCGTTCTCTTGGCGTCTCTATTCGCATTCTTCATTGGTAAACTCAATTTCCAAAAGAAGTGAAATCGCAATTTCCTCATATATAAATGTTTGGTATTTAGAAGTGAGAATTTGTGTCTTAGAACAACTAGAAAGAAAACAAAAGAAACGCTTCCAAAATTGGTGAACAAACTGTTACAGTTTTGCAAAAAAAAACAAGAGTTGCAACTTGCAAGTGACTTTCTCAAATAACCAAAAACTCAAAACTTTGGTAGAGAATGAGACAAACCATATACAGAAGAAGGATCTGTGTTTTCTTCATCTCCTTACACAATTTACAAAAACAGAAACAACCTAAGGTCTAAATGCAAAATCGTGCAAGTGTCTGGGTTATTTCAACTCAGGTCTTGTATGAGACATTTTTCGAAGATGGTCGGAACTTTGAACCCACCTACAGACAACATTAAGTTTTAAGAATTCTCTTACAAAAAAATATTGTGATGAACCAATAAACTTACCTCGGATTCCGCCATTTCTTTTGAGCAGAAGAACCGTAGAACTTGCTTGCGCGGACCTTGTTTAGTTGATTCTTGAAGAGAATGGCCAAGAAAAAATGCTAAGTGTTCATGGCGATTAGCTCATCCGGCATGCATTGCCTTATATTAATGACCATTGATTTATTATAAGGCGATGAGATGTCACAACATTGGCGGCGAGGCGCAACCATCTGACATTTTATTTTCAGGAAACCAATAAAAGAGGTAAATGCAGGCAAAATTGAAGGTACTTTACAATGAAGTAAACAGAATTTATAAATTATACCTGTTCAACATCATGTTTCAGCTTGCGAGACAGAACTCTGATGCGTTCTAGACGCTCAACAGCTTCTGCTCTGTGACAGTTTCTAACTCTGTGGAGGTTATAGTTACTCCATGTTCCCTCAGTTCCATCTGATCCTACACTGTCCAAGAAAAATACGAGCGGTCTCCCACATGGATCCCTTGGATATTCTCTTGTACTGAACATATAATTGCTTTGGACCCCTGACCCTCTTCTCCATGTAGAAAATGTCTTTTGCAAGGTGAGAAGATCCGGAAGAAGTTTATTTCCTTCATAAACTTGAACCGCGTAACCCCACACAACCGAAACAGTCACTGTGTTCAAAGAATCATAGCACACACTCTGCTGTAAAATCCTTGCAGAATCAAAACTTGCAGCTCCGATAAGATGAGCCACAGATTCCGTCCGGTTCCTTTTTGGAAAAAACGGATCAACTGCATCCAAGTGATGAAGAGATACCAACGGAGATAAAGGGTGCGCACATAGCAGACCAAATATGTTCCCTCTTACATCAATCTATGAAATGAGCACATATATAGCAATATTCAGATTAAACTCTCCAGCAGCAAAATCAGATATGGTAAAGTAAGCAAATTAGACTTATCCGAAAAATACTGCAACAGAAAGGAACATACTAACTACACTATCCAAAATCAACTACATAAAACAAGATAGTCTAATGACATCATTGAACTAAAAACTTGTCTATCTCTCAGAAAATCTCTTGTTCAGCAATCAGCATCAATGTCACTTTTCAGTTCCAATAAAATCACAAGGTTTTGACTATCTCAATCCTCCCAAATTGTTGCAACTAATTTAGCAAAAATCCATTCTTTTATTACCTGATGAAATCCAGGTTCATGAGTTAATGTAACACCAAGCTCAGCGACGCAAGAGAAGATCCTAGAATCGCTTCCATACATATGTGAATACCTCATTAAACAAGAATCCAAAACCTTAGCTAGAACCTTGGCAAGCGAAGCACTAATGGCGAATCCTCCACCACCAAACGCCATATCAAAAGAATACCTAACATTCTGATCATAAAACTCCGAATTACTTCCGACGTAATACCACTTCCGGTGATCATACTTAGACAAAACCGTCACCAAATTATCTACAAAGAAGACAGTATCATCATCACCGAAAACGAACCACCGCACATCTTTATCTCCCAGATCCACCGTCTCTTTAACAACACGAGCCACACGAATCGCCGATCGGAGACCGCCAGGGAAATTATAAGGAAACCTAGAAACGTCTTTAGATACAATCACAGGAGGGAGAGTTAGATCGGACTCCAATCCACCGCGATCGAGAAACACGACGGCGCGTGTAGATTCAGGAGAGTACCAGAGACGAACATAGGAGCTACGACGGAGCCAAGAGTCATGAGAAGCAGCGATCGAGAAGAGTAAGTGACGGCGACGAGTGGAGAACACAGATAAGGAACGAGCGATCGATGAAATCTGCTCACGTCGGAAAGTGGTGCCGTAGGAGAAGATGATGTAGATGATGAAACAAAAGGTGAGTAATAAGAAGATGTATCTGATGCGGGAAGAAGTTAGCGACGGAGATTTGGCCGGAAAGAGCATTTCCGGCGAGAGTGAATCGAGTCTAGAGAGAGATGGATCAGGTCGTCTCTTACGTCTCGTTTGGTTCATTTTTGTTAACTTTCCTCTTTTGAGTTTCTTCTTCTTCTTCTCTGCAGATTCGACGACGGTTATGTTTCTCGGAAAGTTGTACAACGAAGGAGCCGTCACTTTCAGTGAATAGACTTCGTCATTTGGGTTTACGGGTCGGGTTAGTTTTGGTCCGGATAAAATTTTCGGACCTACTTAATGAGACCAAGGGTTAGGTGTTGACTGTTGTGTATCCTATTTTATGTTATGGGCTTGACATATGAGTTAGTACTTAGTATCCCTGTTCTAAAAATCCCAGCCTAGGTCCGATTACTCCCCGCTTAATCGCTAGGCCCACCCTATCCGTTTCGATTAATGACTAATCCCTAAAAAAATCAGTTACTCGATTACTCTCCGTCTAATCCGATTACTTCCCGCCTAATCCGATTATTCCCCGCCTAATTTTACATATCTCGATTATTTTTAGATTGCAAGTATAAAAAACTTTTTATTTTTGTTATTCAATCATTTAAATTGGGAGTTTGTGACGTTTTACAATAACTTATGTTCAAATTTTAATAAAAATCATAAATTTGTAATAAAAATCATAAAACTTTATCTCAAAAATACAGTTTTATGTGTTTACTGCAATTTTGAAAACAATATTTGATTAATATGTTTTAAAAATATTAAAATAATCCTAAAACTAATCCCCGATTAATTCCCGATTTTAATCCGATTTTCCGATTAATCGCTAGGCCCATACCTAGCGCCCGACTAGCGCCTAGCGATTTTTCAAACAAGGCTTAGTATGTATTTTGGAGCATCTCCAGCGCTTGAAACTGTGAGAGTTTCACAAATATATTTTTCTAATTATTTTAAAATAAAAAAAAAAACTTTTTTGTTAAATTTTAAATTATATTACAAAAAAATTCTCTCTTAACCCATTTTTATTTTTCAGATAGAGAACGAGATTTTCGGCTAACCGGAATCAATTTCCGTCCGGCGTTAGCTGGGTTTTGTTCTATACATAGTTTCTGATTTTGGACAGATGTCTGTTTCTACTTAAGTCGGATTTTAATAATTTCAGACTTAGCTTGGTTCGTTTTCCGGCTACGATCGGATTGTACGTTTTTTAGTTTTTTTCTTCTCTTTCTACAAGATTTTTAGTGTAAATTCTGCTTGTTGTCGATTGGTTTCTCTCATGTTTATCCATTGGTTTAACTTTTCTCAAAATCTAGATTAATATCTTCGTCGTAATAGCTTCGTCGCTATGCGAAGTGGACCTCTACTTAGGTCTTGGGCAGAGTTTCTTCCTTTAAACTTGGGTTGAGATGAAAATCTGTAAAAAACTCCTATTATTCAAGACGAAAAATAGCCGATCCAATTTGATTTGCGGTGGTGATATTTGTAGAAGGATGGCTCCAAGGACCTGACTTGAAGCCTTCATCCGGTGGTTAAGACCGTCGTCGGCATAGTAATTGGCAGTGATCAACCGATGGTGTTCCGGTGGTTTTCTCGCTTTTGCCACATGAACCCGTTAGGATTTTACATCAAACACTTGTCTCTTACGTGCCATCTTTGTGTATTTGGGTTTATTCCAAAATTGGACCTTAAAAGACTTTTGTATCACGTTCTTGTAATCTGCCTTCTTTGGGTTTCATTATAAAACGAAAATTGCCGACAAAAAAAAAAGTATAAAAAATATAAACTTAACCAGTCATAACATACCAAGTGTAATGTAATGACAATGTTATATTTTAATAATGGAATGAAAATGTTATATTTTGTCAAACGTTATTAAATTAACGATGAATTAATTTACTGTTGATTACCGACTAATCAACTATGGTTTTATCAACATGTCATAAATTTGTTATCTATATGTCACCATTTATATATTCAACTGGCATAGTTTTGAAGGATGTATATCTTCTAGAAGCTAACGAAATTGTGATAGATACAATAAATGGACTACGAGGAAATTGTTTCCCAGAGAAGATCCAAATGCGCACTAGGCTATCGAAGCTATCCTACATGTTACATGTCCATTAGTTTTTCGATCCTGGATCCAAAAATTAAAATCGAGGTTCATGCTATTTCCGGGAAAGAAAGTCGACCGTAACATTTTTATCAAATAAAATTAAATAAATATGAAAACGGAAGATAAGAAATTAATTATTTTAATCGTTTCTTTAACAAAAAGAAATTACTTTAATCACGAACCATGCAATGCAAGTGAAGTCCCTTTCATCCTTTTGAGAGCAAACTTGTAATAAAATATAAGTTAGAGTACTTAACCACCACACACAATGACCCAAAGACACCCAATTACGTAGAGACTGTCACGACCCTAAATTCAATTAATCTGTTTCTTAATGCTCACATAGTCACATATTCTTTAATAATTGTAATCAGTGGGACATTGATTCTCTAACCACTTTTTTCGGTGATGAATTCTTCTAGACTAAGACCATCCGCTGTGGTATAAGTGTGAGGGAGGGGTTTAAGATTTTTTTTATTATTATAATTTAAAGTGAGAGAGAAAAGAGAGAGAGAAAGAAAGAGAGAGAGAGATAGAGTGTCTTACACCCGAGTGTAAACTTACACCCGAGTGTGAAGAGAGAGACAACTTTTGTATTATTTCTGTATTTTAAAATAGATACACCCCACGCAAGGATACACCACTGCGGATGCTCTAAACGAGCAACTAGTTAATATAATATAGAGTAATTGGCTGCACCCATGGGCCATGGCCATGAGTCCATCATTTCCACACTTATATATATTTTCATTTCCAACTTATATATATTTTCTTGACTCTTTTATCATTCAGAAGAAAAAGTACATTTCTTTGGTAGATGTTAAATATGACTGAATTTATAAAAACGAACAGAAATAGTTGAAATATAAATATTCTTATCTAAGTGAAAACATGATTGAATCATAAAATGTTATAGAAACACGTAAAATAATATGTTAATTAGAGGGTTATACAATTCCCGGTTCATATATTATATCTCATTGAAAAACTTGCACAGTAGTTTGATAATTAATGAATTCGGATATTTTGTACTCCTTTTCTATAGACCACAAAAATGCTATTCATGATTCAATGATTCATTCTAGAAGGTGATTGTGATATGTGAACCAAATTAAGAGTCATACTAGTCAACTACTCGAAATTTGTGTATCCAAACATGAGGACGAAAGATCGTCTGGTGGAGGAAAAATAACTAAATTATTGACAATTTGGCCCTCTAGGGACAATTACATCAAAACAATAGGTCAATAATTTTCCACGTGTACAACCTATTCAATGACATAATCAAAATATCCATTTGCTTTAAATAACAATCCTTCCTATATAAATCGTCAAGACTTTCAACACAACTACACAAGAGAGAGTAAAAGATGTGCAAAGGAGTTGAGAAAAAAGAAGAGAGAAGAAGCGACGATGGAGGATGCCAAAGACTATGCACGGAGGGTCCTAGAGCTCCGGTGAGCTGTGAGCTTTGCGGCGAGAACGCCACCGTGTATTGTGAGGCAGACGCGGCTTTCCTTTGTAGGAAATGTGATCGATGGGTCCATTCTGCTAATTTTCTTGCTCGGAGACATCTCCGGCGCGTGATCTGCACGACCTGTCAGAAGTTAACTCGTCAATGTCTTGTCGGTGATAATTTTAATGTCGTTTTACCGGAGATAAGGACGATGGCAAGGGTTGAAGAAGATGGTAGTGAATACAAAGTCCCCTTTGTGTTTCTCTGATTTTTTGTTTTGTTTTGTTCTCGTAATTAAGATTAAATCTTGGTAGGGTTTATGTAATAACTTTTTTTCTATAGAAATGTTATAAGAATTTACATTCTAAAGCTTAAAAGTTCAAAAAAATTGAAAACCAAGAAACAGTTAGACAAATATAGCAAAATTTAAGCAATCAAGAACAACTCTTACTATGGCAAACATAATCTGCCTTTATTCTTTGGCTTTATTTTCCTTAAACAAGAAAACAATACAACGTTACAAATTACAATCAAGTGAAATGGAAAAGTAAAGAGTGGTCCAAAACACAAAGAAAACAGATATTTTTCTATCATTAACATTTAATTGAGTATAAAGAAACTATAAGTAAGAAAGAGTCAATGACTCTTGTTTGGTTTCTTGATTTGGTCTGATCGTCTGGTCGCTGTATGACCGGTAGGTTCTTTGGTCACATCAAAAACAGAGGAAATTCTCTAGTAAAAAAAAAGAGCAAATTTGAGAATTTTTTTTGTCTCCATTTGGTATCACCTTTGCCTTGATTTCAGGGTTTTATAGTTTGATCTTATTGTATACTTTTTTTGTTACTTCTCCGACAAGAAACTGTTAATCCCGTGGATGGAGTGAGATTATTCTTTAACTGAGACTTTATGGCAGTGAAGAATCACTAGTTCACATAACCAGTGATGGGTCATACTCAAAAGTTTCTCCAGATTTCACAAATCTTCCTTTCACTCGTTTTCTCGTATCGGCTCTGGCTTTGCGTGATGCATATCGTATTTGCTTCCCAAACCTAACCACAAATATCAAAATTTATCCTCAGAGATTATGTTCAAAACCATGAACCTTGACTCTTTTGCTAAAAAACTTACATTCGCTTTGATTTCTTTTGTTTGTATCTCTTTTTAGCCTCATCCCTTGATTTTGGATTAAAACTGACTTCAACATTCGATTCCCATGGCGAATCTCCTATGAGAAACCCTGGCGAAATTCCGCAATCTTGGTAATCAGTCGGACTGCTTTCTCCTGTGATGTTTGACATCGAAATTGACATGCTTGGAACAACATTCCCCGATAACGCAGGAAGCAGTAATGAAGGAAGGCCGATGTCATTCTCTTCCTTAAAAGAATCCTCGTACTGATAACCTTTGGTATGGTCAAGTGATGGACATCCGATAATATCATTGCTTGCGTTGAAATTCAAAGGCGCATCATCCAAATTTATCCCTTCGCATAGATCCAAACCAGAACATTCCTGCATAGAGAATGGAATATAAATGAAAACAATGTACTCTTTATCACAATTTAACTTTTTGATATATTACTTAAAGCACACGTTACCTCCTCTATCACTTTAGGAAAATTAGTTTCCATGGAAAAGAAAGAAGAATAGTCTTTAAGATTCTGAGTTTGTGTAACCACGGAAGTTGATGAACCATTCCAATCGTCTAATTCTTGGAGCAGGGTATCAGGAAATGGAGAGACCCAATTTGAGACAGAAGGTTCTAAAATCGAAGACCAGATCTTGGCGAAATCTGATGGAGAAGGACAACCAGAGTAAGGATTCAGATTCTGAAGTCTGTGTCCTAAGCCAGTGCAGTTACTTGCGGTCCATTGACATCCTTGGCAAAGAGAAACCTTCTCGTTCATACAGTGGATTACCGTGGGTTGCAAGAAACATTTTTCGCAGAGTAGAGTCCGTGTGTGTCTTTGAGACAGAGGATTCGCTGAGTGTATATTAACATCACAGTTTAAACAAAGTTTAGCCAAATCTGATTTGCAGTAAATTAATGCTTTTTCGGTTTCACAATAGTCACATCGAGCCTCCATACTTCTTCAAAGACAAAACTCGAATATAAATAACGATTTCTCAATCCCAATCGCTACACACACCTAAAATCCTGCAGCATATAAGGATCGTGAGACAAAATCAGAACATTTAGAGATCAAATATGTTTATATGAAACAGAGGAATTAGATCGTAGCAATGAAGATTCATTATAGGTTTCTATGTTTTTTTAGTGTGTGACTGTGACTAATACATGTGTGTGTGTGAGATTCACTGGAGGTTAGAGAAGCAAGCACTCACAAACTAAGAAATTGTGGATTCTCGAGACCGATCAGTACTATTACTAAAATCCTACAATGTCTAGAAACTCATAACCAATAAATGAGGAAATTTTTCGAAACAGAGTATGACAATAAACGTGTAAAATCGTTTGTGTTTTAGGGTTCCAAAGATAGAAGCTTTACAAGGGTGTGTGAGTCCGAGTGGAAGGAGATGAGAAAGAACAGAGAAGAAAAGGTTTTGCTCTGTTTTTATTCTGTGTGGGATCCACCTAGTTAAGTGGGTTTTTGCCACGTGTTGTTTTTTTTGTTCGTTAGATTTTTTTGTTGTCCTAATGTGGTTGACCATAAATTTCGGAGTTTTAGTTTGATTCTTTAGTACTTTGTGTGGCTCGCAAGAAAGTGTGTAGATGTTGATTAGAAAACGTGTAAATGTTTCTATGAGGTAATTACGTACTCATTCATTTAGAACACGTTTTCTTATTCAAAACATCCGAGTAATAAGACTAGTTCGAAGCAATTTATTCCGAGTGTTGGTTTAACGAACATAATTATGAGTTTGCAGAATAGTAGTCTGGTTTGATTAACCGGTGGTTATGGATAGTTATAGTATCAATTTCTGTAACTTTACAAAGTATATTGCTCAAGTTCTCACATATAAAAAGAAGAGAAGTTAGAGGCACTGAAATGATTGAAAGAAAACTTTGTGAAGTAAACTGGAAAAGCAATTATTCGGTGACAAATGATTGTTTTTCGTTTGTGATTTTTTTCCCGACCACAACATCCAATTTTCGACGAATTCCTCCGATTCAAGAAACAATTTATTTTCGAAGTATGAGTTTCGGCACAAAAATCAGATATAATAAAGAATTAGCCATGCCATTTTCACATGATTCATTTTAGTTTTTGGTAAAGGTTTCTGGGCTTTTAGGCCTGGAGTCTCCTAGAACCGGATACCGTAGAAGGATACGTAGTCTACTCCCTAGCAATCGAACTTAAGACCTTAAGATGCACTGTTTTTGAAACATCTCCTATTGCATGCAATTCAATACACGATCACTGCAATAGCTGACACAATCTGTCTTAGCATTACCTGTCCAATTGTCAATGTATGTTTATCACTCTTCCATAGGTGTCACTCATTTAATTAAATGTCCAAAAATCAACTCATTAGACCATCAGCAGTGGCAAATGTGTTTGTGTGGGTGTAAGTATTTTTTTAGTATTATAATTTAAAGCAAAAGAGAAAAGAGAAAGAAAGAGAGAGATAGAGAGAAAAAGTGTTACACCCGAGTGTAAACTTACACCCGGGTGCGAAGAGAGAGACAATTTTTTCGTTTTTTTAATACCTACACCCCAAGACTCACACCCACCTGCTTTCCCCACTGCCCATACTCTTAGACCAAACACTTGTTTCCTGATAAGTCAATTGTTTTGTACTTTTGCTAAACACTTTAACAGGTGTCCAAAATTCATTAGACGTCCAAAAAGAACAGTTAATAGTTGTCAACTTGTTTTCCAAAAGTAGCATAGGAAACAACATTTGAACACAGAAACTGTTTTCATAAAGTCCTAAAATCCCCGAAAATCAAAGAAGTGTCAACTTTGGAGCTCGCCAAGAAGTGTCACATCTTGAGAATCAATGAATAACGAGGAAAAACAAGTGGCGGTTTCCCTGTAATATCCCCGTATGCCCCTCATAGTCTCTAGCATCTCTGAGTTAGCGACTTTACCAATCTTGTACTAGTCCATCGACATTGTAGCACTCACAACAATGCAACGATCGTCTGTTGATGAAAAAGCTAATACAAGGAGATGAAGAAAAGCAGCAAAAGATGTCATATGAAATGTATACATTGTCATCAAATTATACACAAATTTACAAATACTAGAGTTGTGGTAATTAGAATTTAGAAAAGACATTTCCAGAATTAAAAAAAAAAATAGGCAAAAGACCAATTGTGATCAGGATATACCACAAACCAATATAGCGTCACAAGCCATTATACCTGAAGGAATTGTGTTTATCCCTTAGAATTGGTAATGGACGCCAATACAAAAACCAAAAAACACTCAATATATTTCTTCAAAAGAGGAAAGTTTCGTTCAATATGCTCAGTGGAAGGAGATGTCGTTTAAATAGGAGAGCTCACGGTATAACCACTGCTCTTCTCACACTCTTCGTGCTTTTCTCTCATCATTGCATCATCAAACACAACAATAATCCAACAAAAAAAAAAGCCAAACATTGGTAAAAGAACGAAGCCTCAGTGTGTGTAACAAATTCAGATCATTGATTCAAGAACCTCACTGAAATCCGCTAAGATAATTGTTTTTTATCATCATCAGCTTATAACCCAAACAATGACAAAAACATTAATCAAATCAATCAAAAGATAAGATTTTGTGTGAAAGGGTAAATAATACTCAGACAGCCAAGGGTTAATCTTCAACTTCTGGGAGAAGAATCCCAGATCTGAAACTCTAGTCCACATACACTTGTATCATCACCATATTAACCCCTTCCACACATCACAAATCTCTTGCACAAAAACCCTAAAAATCACCAATTTTATCATATACAGACACGAAAATAGTCACATACCTATCCCTAAAATAACCAATTATATCATAAAAGACATGAAAAGAAAGCAAGATCCTACGAGTTTGTAGCAAACGAAAACATATAAATACTCACAGGCAGACTCAAAGAAACTCTTCTGAGAAATTAGGGTTTCCTAAGGCGGCTACCGTATTTTAGGTTTTGTCTTGGCCCAATAATGCTAAATGGGCCAGCTTACGTGACCCAACAAACAACTTCATTTACCTTATAAAATAATCCCTTTACTTTTACCAATTCTAACCCAGCCAACACGAAAAGTCCAAAAAACCCCAAAAAAACAGAAATGAAGATGATTGAGCTCGTGTTCATACCTTCGCCGGGAATCGGCCATCTCCTGCCAACAGTGAAGCTAGCAAAGCAACTCATCAGCAGCAACGACGATCTCTCCATCACCGTAATCATCATACCTTCCAGAAACGACGCCGGTGATGCAACCGCCTATATCGCATCCCTCACGACGGAGTCTCAAGATCGCCTCCGTTACGAACCCATCTCCGTCGTAAAAGAACCACCAACCGCCAATCTAGAACCGTCTCAAGTCTACATCGAGAAACAAAAACCAAAAGTGAGAGACACAGTCGCCAAAATCATCACTCCAACACGAAAACTCGCTGGATTCGTGGTCGACATGTTCTGTTCTTCAATGATCGATGTAGCTAACGAATTCGGAGTTCCGTGTTATATGGTCTACACATCAAACGCTACGTTTCTGGGAATCACACTTCACGTTCAACAAATGTACGACGACAAGAAGTGTGACGTCAGCGATTTGGATGAGTCAGTCAACGAATTGGAGTTTCCGTGTTTGACACGTCCTTATCCAGTGAAGTGTCTTCCTCATATCCTCACTTCAAAGGAGTGGTTACCATTTTTTGTAGCTCAAGCTAGATTTTTCCGGAAGATGAAGGGTATTTTGGTAAATACAGTTGCTGAGCTTGAGCCTCAAGCTTTAAAAATGTTTAATAATGTTGATCTTCCTCAAGCTTATCCTATTGGACCAGTGTTGCATCTCGAAAACGGTGAAAAGGAATCGGAGATTTTGCGGTGGCTCGATGAGCAACCGCCGAAATCTGTTGTGTTTCTATGTTTTGGGAGCATGGGAGGTTTCACTGAGGAGCAAACTAGAGAGGTAGCTGTTGCGTTAGATCGAAGTGGTCACCGGTTTCTTTGGTCTCTCCGTCGTGCATCGCCGAATATAATGATGGAACGTCCCGGAGATTACACGAATCTTGATGAGGTTTTACCGGAGGGGTTCTTGGAGCGGACGTCGGATAGAGGGAAAGTGATAGGATGGGCACCACAAGTGGCGGTGCTAGAGAAACCGGCGATAGGAGGGTTTGTTACTCATTGTGGTTGGAACTCGATGCTAGAGAGCTTGTGGTTTGGTGTTCCGATGGTGACGTGGCCGCTTTACGCAGAGCAGAAGGTTAACGCGTTTGAGATGGTGGAGGAGTTGGGGTTGGCGGTGGAGATACGTAAGTGTATTAGAGGTGATTTGTTGTTGGTCGGAGAAATGGAGACGGTTACGGCGGAGGATATAGAGAGAGCTATCAGGCGTGTGATGGAGAAGGATAGTGATGTAAGGAATAGAGTGAAGGAAATGGCTGAGAAGTGTCACGGGGCGTTAATGGACGGTGGATCTTCGAAGACGGCTTTGGAAAAGTTTATTGAAGACGTTTTAGAGAATGTGGATTAAATTGGATAAAGAGACGCACTCACATGTCGAGTGTTGACGTAGTGTGTTTATTATGTGTGTTATGTCGTTTTCGGAATTTGGAGACGTACTGTTTTTGTGTGTCTTTTTAATTATTTCTTTTTGTCGATGCTAGATTTGAATTATATAATTATATGAAATATGCGTGATAAAATGTGATACATAAATTTTTGTTTCACAAAAAAATGGGATTCTTTTATTCAAATTCGTTTGGTTGTCAAATTTGACTAATCCGTTAGTTTATTAATTTTTACAAAAGAAAATTAGATTAACCATTTTTCTTTTGACCGCAATTAATAGGCTTTTATTGGTTCAATAAGACTTGGAAATTCCCATTTAGAATTAGGATGATTGTTTTGACTTTATTAAGCTTTATTTTGGATTGCTCATACGAATTTGAATGGGGATAATAATTGTTTTAATTTTATGCCAAACCCATATGGCTATAGTACTACTCTTGCATAGACTAAGGCAAATGGTAAAATTTTTTTTTTTTTAAAAATCAATAGATGGGTAGTCATAGTCCATTAATTCAGAACAATAGGAAGCTTAGGCTGTATATTGTCGAGAAACTTTGTTCATACCAAAACCTGAACTGCATATAGATATCAAGAACATAAGCATGATTAGACTGCGTGATTGAAATCATTCACAGTTCTGTTTATCAAATTCAAATAGTTTTCGACCGCCAACATTAATAATGAAAGCACATAAAGTTCAAAACCTTCAATTCAATAGTGATGTTTAGATTATACTTGTGGGAGAGTAGTGTAGCCATGATTTGAAGGTGAGGGTTGACTATATAACTACGATCGATATGGATGACTCAGTTACCAAGTGTTTACGTATGTTACATTTGTAAAATTTGGCACATCAAAAGTTTGACCCCAAGAAAAACACACATACACCTATTATAGTATTATTATCGGACAAATTCATGAAGGGCATGTTCTTTAACTTGTCGCTGCATCTGCGACCGTGACGGAGCAAAACGACGGTGGCCACATCAATTAACAAACCAAAACGACAGAGAGGGAACAGACGAAGGTATCAATGGAAAAGAGGAGGTGTCGCTACATATGACGGAGGAGTCGCTACAATTGATGGAGGAGTCGCTATAAAATTTAGCAACAACAGCGACTCGTTTTCAGCGATCCGGCGACTCAACTTCTCTTCATCGCTTACCTATTATCTGTCGCTGGCTTCAAATCTGATTAAAATTCAAGTTATTTTTTCAATCGCTGGCTTGTGTCGCTAGCGACATACAAAAGAACAGGCCCGAAATGTTATGTGACATGCCATACATAAACATACACAATCATCGTATCTCATAGGTCAATGTGATTCTCTATCTCTATCTCCTTTCTAGTTTTCTCGGTACCATCAAACCACATTCTCTGTCACGTCTTGAATAAACGTTTGCAAAGCCACCTGCGAAGATCCACCGTCCATCAACGCCACGTGACACTTCTCAGCCATCTCTTTCACTCTATTCCTAACCTCACTATCCTGCTCCATCACACGCCTGATAGCTCTCTCTATATCCTCCGCCGTAGCTATCTCCATCTCCCCGGCCAACAAATCTCCTCTAAAGTACTTCCGTATCTCAACCGCCAATCCCAACTCCTCCACCATCTCAAAGGCGTTTATCTTCTGCTCTGCGTAAAGCGGCCAAGTCACCATCGGAACACCAAACCACAAGCTCTCTAGCATCGAGTTCCAACCGCAGTGAGTAACAAACCCTCCTATCGCCGGCTTTTCTAGCACCGCCACTTGTGGAGCCCATCCGATTATCTTCCCTCTATCCATTGTCCGATCTAGGAATCCCTCCGGTAGAACCTCCTCTACATTCGTATAATCTCCTGGACGCTCCGTCAAAAAATTCGGCGATGCGCGGCGGAGGGACCAGAGAAACCGGTAACCACTTCTATCTAACGCGATGGCAATCTCTCGTGTTTGTTCCTCATTGAAGCCTCCCATACTCCCAAAGCAAAGGAACACAACCGATTTAGGCGGTTGCTCATCAAGCCATCGCAAAATCTCCGATTGTTTTTCATCGTCGTCAGAGCTGTTTTCGACATGCAACACTGGTCCAACTGGATAAGCTTGAGGAAGATTGTCACCATTGTTAAACATTTTCAAAGCTTGAGGTTCGAGCTCAGCCACTGTATTTACTAAAATACCCTTCATCTTACGAAAACATCTAGCTTGAGCTAGAAAAAATGGTAACCAATCCTTTGAAGTGAAAAAATGAGGAAGACATTTCACAGGGTAAGAACGAGTCAAACATGGAAACTCCAACTCGTTGACCGAGTCTTCCAACTCGCTGACGTCATACTTATTCTCGTCGTACATTTGTTGAAGGTGAAACGAGATTCCCAAAAACGTTGCGTTTGATGTGTATACCATATAACATGGAACTCCAAATTCGTTAGCTACATCTATCATCGAGGAACAGAACATGTCCACGACGAATCCGGCTAGACGTCGCGAGTCAACTCTTGTTGAATCGAAGATTCTCGCGACCACATCTCTCACTTGCGGCTTTTGTTTCTCGATGTATACTTGAGGTGGCTCTGGATCGGCGGTTAGTTGATTTTCGACGGAGATGGCTTCGTAGATGAGACGATCTTGAGACGCGGTCATGAGGGTTGCTATATAGGTGGTTTCACCATCGTTGACGTCGCCACTGGAGCTAGGGTAAGGGATGATGATTACCGTGATCGAAAGGCGGTAATCGTTGCTGATGAGTCGCTTCGCTAGCTCGACGGTTGACCTGAGATGACCGATTCCTGGCGACGGTATGAACACAAGCTCCATCTTCATTTATTGGTTTATTCTTCTTTGGACTTTTGATCGATGTGTTTAGCCAGAAGTAGTAAAAGCCGAAGTTATATTAAAGATAATAATTAAGTTGTTTGTTGGGCCACGCAAGATGGCCTATTTAGTTTGATTCGACCAAGAAAAACCTTGAATATAAAATCCCAAGTATTCAGGGGTTTTGTGAAAGAAAATTGTAACGTTTTGTTTTGGGTGTGTATGGGTTATGGTGCAATTATAGGTGCACTAGAGCTGATAAAAGAAAATAGCTTCCATTTCCCTACAAATGTTATATAGATATAGCACAGATACAAGATTACGCGTCAGTATAAGAGGTTTTTTTTTAGCTTATATGCTTTAGATTTCACTAATAGACGATTTAGAGCTACTGGTTATGCGCCAGTTGTTTTATCCATAAGGTGAAGGTGTGAAGGTTTTATTACTCCCTTTATTCTTCAATTTTTTTTACCAAAAGGACGTAGTTTTGTGAGATGTTAAAATTATACACGTTCGTTTATATGTGGAGAGTTATATTGCGGTTTTGTTATAGCTGGAAGGGGTTTCTTGCATTTTATAGTTGGAAGATAGACTTAAAAATAAAAAAGATATTTTTAGCACAAAATCATTTAATAAATTAAATTAAGATAATTATGAAACGTTAAATTTGTTGGTTGTATTATTTAAATAAAATATGTTAAATAATGTTGCAAAGGAGTATATGAAATTCTGATAGAGAGCGGAAGCTAAATAACGGACGAGAATACAAGAACTCTAAGAGAAGTCGGATTCACGAACGGATTTTGCTTAAAACGTCGAAACGTGACGAAGAAGATATAGAGATAGGGTCGAGATCGGTAGTGATATCGACATGGGTTTTGCAAGTCTTTCTTGCAGGGCTTGAACACAAGTTCTTAGGGTTGAGAGTCATTCTCTCTAGGCTTTACACAAAACTCTCTTAAAAATTCAGTTTATCCAATAATCAAATGCTTATTACAATAATGAATTACTTCACTTTAAATAAGAAGAGAATGAAACCCTAGCCTAAAGAAGAGTAAAACGAATATAAGCACTCAAAGCCCAAATAAACATTAAGTCCATGAGAAACAAAACCAACTAGCTCAAACATGACGGAGGACACGTTCGTCTTGGAGATGCGCTGAATCAAAATCTCTTCTGACTTCCTACTTACTTGTAGCAACCGAAGAAAGACTTCTGTTGTCTTCTAAATCGTTTGAAGATGAACGGTATATAACTCATCCAGTATGGAAGCATCCCTAACCACAATATATGGGTCTCAATGGTTAGTTCCTTTATTTATCAGACTAATATACTTTATTTTAATAAATTTATTCAATTTGGTTATTCACCAAATTCATCATCTATTTTATTTTATTTATTGGTTAGAATCGTTTTCTTTTCTTTGGTTTAAGTTTAGCCAAAAAAGAAAAATCTTTGATTGTCTTTTTTATATTCATAATTCATCTCTCTCATATTCTAAAACAAAATTCTTTTATCTTTTTTTCTTTCTTTTTCATAGTTAATGCATTATTTTGAAAAAAAAATACAATTTATACCATTTTTAATGAAGTAATTGCTGAAAATGAAGTCTAATGAACTGTTATGAAGTGTTAAGTAAATTTACAAGAGTTCATTAGTGGTGGGATTAAGAGAGGCAATTGGTAGTTTATTAATAGAAGGAGACTGTTGACTTCAGTGCTTCGGAGACAAGAGCTTCGGGATGTAAACAATTGGTAGTTTAATAATACACATTCTACTTGATTAACTCCGACTCTACCAATCAACCAAAAGTCCAAACCCAAAAAATAGAAATGAAGATCGAGCTCGTGTTCATACCGTTGCCGGGAATTAGTCATCTCCGACCAGCCGTGAAGCTCGCAAAGCAACTCATCGAGAGCGACGACCGTCTTTCGATCACCGTAATCATCATCCCTTCAAGATTCGATGCCGGTGATGCATCCGCCTCTATCGCATCTCTCACGACGGATCGCCTCCGTTACGAAGCCATCTCCGTCTCAAAAGAACCACCAACCTCCGATCCCGCGGATCCGGCTCAAGTTTACATCGAGAAACAAAAGTCAAAAGTGAGAGATGCAGTAGCCAGAATCGTTGATCCAACACGAAAGCTCGTTGGATTCGTGGTGGATATATTTTGTGCCTCGATGATCGATGTAGCTAACGAATTCGGAGTTCCGTGTTATATGATCTACACATCGAACGCTACGGTTCTAGGAATCATGCTTCACCTTCAACAAATGTACGATCAAAAGAAGTATGACGTCAGTGAGTTGGAAGAGTCAGTCAACGAGTTGGAGTTTCCGTCTCTGAGTCGTCCTTATCCAGCGAAGTGTCTTCCTCATTTCCTCACTTCAAAGGAGTGGTTACCTCTCTTTCTAGCACAAGCCAGGTATTTACGGAAGATGAAAGGTATTTTGGTAAATACAGTTGCTGAGCTTGAACCTTACGCTTTGAAAATGTTCAACAATGTTGATCTTCCTCAAGCTTATCCGGTAGGACCAGTGTTGCATTTTGACGACGATGAAAAGCAATCAGAGATTTTGCAGTGGCTCGATGAGCAACCCCCTAAATCTGTTGTGTTTCTCTGTTTTGGGAGCTTGGGAGGCTTCACGGAGGAACAAGCTAGAGAAATGGCCATTGCGCTTGATCGAAGCGGTTATCGGTTTCTTTGGTCTCTCCGTCGTGCATCGCCGAATATAATGACGGACCGTCCTAGAGATTTCACGGATTTGGATGAAGTTCTCCCGGTGGGATTCCTAGATCGGACATTGGATAGAGGGAAGGTGGTGGGATGGGCACCACAAGTGGCAGTGCTAGCAAAACCGGCGATAGGAGGATTTGTCACTCATTGTGGGTGGAACTCGATGCTTGAAAGCTTGTGGTTCGGTGTTCCGATGGTGACATGGCCGCTTTACGCGGAGCAGAAGGTAAACGCGTTTGAGATGGTGGAGGAGCTGGGATTGGCGGTGGAGATACGTAAGTACTTAAAAGGAGATTTGTTCGCCGGAGAGATGGAGACGGTTACGGCCGAGGATATAGAGAGAGCCATTAGGCGTGTGATGGAGCAGGATAGTGATGTAAGGAATAAAGTGAAGGAAATGGCTGAGAAGTGTCATGTGGCGTTAATGGACGGTGGATCTTCCAAGACTGCTTTGCAAAAGTTTATTCAAGACGTGATAGAGAATGTTGCTTAAATTGGATTGAGAGAATCAGTTCCAATTGTTACTATGTATTCGTTTTTTTTTTCTTTTTTTTGAATTTGAATGGTGATAATTATTGTTTTGATTTTAAGAACCAAACTCATATGGCTGGCTATTCTACTCTCCCACAGATTAAGGCAAATTGGTAAAAATAATACATGGCTAGCCATTGTGCATTCATATAGACCATTAGGAAAATTCGTCAAACTTTGTTCTTACCAAAACCGGAATTGCAGGTAGATATCAAGAACATAACCATTATTGGATTGCGCATTCTTGTTGTGTAAAAGTTTGTATAGTCTTCTAGTTAAATATAAGGTATGTGTAAGTTTTTGACACACTTAAAAAATCCTTTTTTTGGTTTTCCTACTTTAAAACATTATTTTTATATAATTAAAAACTATTTAACCAATAAGAAAACAAACTAAATATTACAAATGGTGAAAACAAATAAAAAGTAATAAATATTGTATTGGAAGCTAAAAATATCAAATAAAATAAAACAGTTTTTTTTCTTCATATAACATTCACTTATTATAACACTAGAAAAAGACCCACGCGATGCGTGGGAATAGTTTGAATATATTTTATCGTAAGAAAACTAAATTAGTTTAACCTAAAATCTTATTAGAACCTGTATTATAAAAAAAGTATTAACAAAGAAATCTTTCAAATTATTCATTAAAAGTATTAGCAAAAAAATCTTCCAATTTATTTATTCTCTACAATGACTTAAAAAGTTGTAATTTACATGTTTAAAGGAATCATATGAATTGACAAAACATTATCAATATATTTGAAAGGCTTTTGAATTAACATTTCGAGGGAGATTGGAAAAATAATGAGAGGGTTTTGTGTAAAAAAAAAAAAGAATATTACCATCACAAATAGAATTTATACCACAATTATAGAAATCAAAATAGTACTCTTAAATCATAATAACTAAATAAATCCTAATAACAAAATAGTACTCTTATGCCAAATTTGTAATAAATTTTAATTTAATGTAGTGAACTTTTTTTTGTAACTTATGTGTATCTTTCGAGGGTAACAAAATTTTGAATTAAAGTACTACAAAATAATGTTTGATTACCATTATAAAGCTAAGAAAATGTAAAGACACTACACTAATGGTAAACCTTAATAGAAACATACTGATTTAAGATATTATTAAAAATATTTAATCGATATTTTACGAAAATTGTCTATATATGAAGATTTCTTTACCCTTATGGAGGCATGCCTTATGGAGTGGGGTCAACTGACCCCAACAAAATTTAATTATCCTTTATGTTTTTTGATAAAATGTGAGATTGACCCCACTGAAACTTTTACATTGAACCCTATAAATCTAACTTATACCTATATTTTACTTAAAAAGAAGATCCAAAACCCACATTCTCGAGCTAAAAGTATATTTAATCCTTTTAAATTAAACTCAAATCAGTAATACAGTAATTTAGGCCTCATAAACCTCTTCAAATTTGGGCTTATAATTATAGAAAAGTTGCTTGAGAAATACTATAGTTTGTGATTTTGTGTTTTATATAATTTTGACCCTAATAAAAATTGGTTCTAGCTCCGCCATTATCATTTATATCTCTTGCATCCATTTTGATAATTTGATTTATTAATACTTCATGTAATAGTTAGTTCACATAACTATTAGTCTTTTAAATTAGAAAGGAAATTATAATCATCCGTAGTCATAATTATAAACGGCAGTATTCATAAGTGTTGTAAAATCAAAATTTGTAAGAGCTTATTTAATATTGTCTTTTTCCCTTATTTTACCTGT